ATGGCTATCCATTTCTCAATTCTGTCACAGATCATGGAGGCCAGTTGAAGCATAGACCAGCTTACAAACAGCGCTTGTGAGAAGATACACACATAATTTTGCAATAAGATACGTGTGAAATGCTAAAGCACAGCAATAAAATGCATATATTGATCAGAAGGACACGTTGCATTGCATGTCACGGCAGACTAAAGTAAGCACGAAAAGTTTTAAAAAGAACGACATTTTTGCCACAATAAGATCCACTTTGTTCCTTCAAGTTCAAGCATTTTCGCAAAGCCTTCAAAAATTTAATGAGAATTCCAACATTTTAAAAAACTGCATCCTGAAATTTGGATAAAATTCTGAATTACGAACAAGCAAAAAGGAATCCCTTTTTGTCGGTCAGCTGAAACATTAATTTTTGCTTCAGCATGTACATTAAACAATATAGGTAGAAAAATAACGGCGACAAAATTGCGAAAGAGCGAATGTTCACTCTACTTGTTTTTGAGACAAAGCGTAAATTTTATGTAAGCACTGCCCGCAAAACGCCTGTCTTCTCATCCATCACCTCTGCAAGAGAGTCCAACAAGATAGTTTCATTTAAAGAGCAAGTATTTTATCTGTGCTAAAGTACTGTGCACACTGGAAAATTAAGGTTTGCCATTTTCTGAAAAAATTCAATTTTTGGCTGAGTACTGGTGCCAGAATCTCTAATGAAATAAGTTACCCTCCTAAAACCAGTGAAAGTCCCTGTATGACACAATTTCATTGTGTTAAATACAAAGTGCTTGACGTGACAAACATGAGAAAATGTAATTCATGCTTCTATGGTAATTCTTTCTGTGGGGACGACGATGGCTGTGGGCGGAGCCTATGTTTATTGTTAGCTCGTAAGCAGCTATTGAGACTCACATTGCACACAATAAAGACAGCAGTAAAGGTAATGTGCCACGTGTCGCCCTTTGGCATGAAGTGTTCCACACTCCGCGAAAGTGTGTTCCACACTTTTCGAGCGGCATTGGCCGACACTACCAGAAATTGCACGTATAGACCGTTTTCCGCAGATAGTTTTTCTAAGCCAAACTAGATGGTGCCACCGCACCGAAATAAGCACTGCGCCCACTATGCTAGCCTTCTAGGCGGTCAGCGGCAGTGGCAAATCGGCCGGCCATCGACAGTAAAGGTGGAAAGAAGAAATCCATTAGATCCCGTGTCCAAACGTGGCTGTGCCCATTCGCCGCCGGGGAAAAGCGTCTATAAAAATTCCCAACAAAGCGGTCAGAGAAGTACCTTCAATTGTAGATAAATTGGTAGAGCACCGAACGCCCGATTCAAAGGTTGTGGGTTGGGATCCCACCGATGCTAAGGGTGATTTTTGTCCCTTTTAACTTGTTTAAACTTATATCATCATCACTACACTACAGTCAAACACAACATTTAATGTCCCCTACAATTTTTCTGACTTAATCGTCTGTTCAATTCACTTGGTTGTGTCATTACTTCCTAGGCACTTGTGGGCCTCTAGATACATTGAGAAAGGCAAGGGTAATATCAAATAAGAAGTCACGCTGCCGCCCATGGCAACAGACAATAATGCTCATCATCATCACACTGCCGATCGTTATGATTGTCGGGGTTTAATGTTCCAAAATCAATATGCGAATATGAAAGACGCCATAGTGCAGGGCTCCGGAAATTTCGACCACCTGGGTTCTATAACGTGCACCTAAATCAAGGCATGCGGGCCTCTAGCATTCTGACTTCATCAAAATACGACTGTGATTCCCCGTTGTCACAATGGGGATCAATACTGAACACAACGTCACGTAAAGCCATTGTCACTTTTTGAAGGTTTGGCTGTGCACTGCAAGTTAAAACAAATGCTCACAACAGAAATAATGGATTGCATTTCAATGCCGTGTACCCTAATGGGAAGCCAACCAATCGAGTGCTTCACGGCCCTCGATAAACATGTGCTTGCAGAATCACTGAAAATGTGATTACCTTTATCTTAGTTCCTGTTTTTGCCACTTGGGGCACCATACATCACTTTAAGTAATCAAAGATGCAAGTCCCAAACAAGTAAAACAATGCTCGATTCCGTAAGTATCTTGATTAGTGTTCTGACCACTTGGCGTGTCCCTCTGATATGACAATGTCTACAATAAAGGCTGCTTCAAATTTAGAAATGTGTAGCCAGATAGCGAAGACAGAAACTGCTGACACAGATCCCAATACAAGAAAGCACATAGAAATGCCATAGCTGTTAACTGCAATGATATGTCAGTGATTTTAAAAGAGTCGATGACTTCAGGCACACATGTAGACAGTTTTTAGGAATTAGAAAACACAAACAGATACCAATTGCTGGAAGAAATACCAGTACCTCCCCTTTTAAACAACAGAACTGTTCTCTCTGCCTATAAGTGGGCTTCCTGCAGCGTCTCTATACGAACAGGCATGCAAGAACACAACGTAATGGCACAATTCAGCTAAGAGTGAAACGTCTGATACATTTAAAACAAACGAAGGAGCCATGGAAAAGGTAACCAAGTTACTTTTTTTTTTCAACGTTTATGCTACGCTTCTGGTCAAACTACTGTTACGACTCGGTATGTCTTCGCCGCAATAAAATTTAAAGAATGTTTCTGATATTGATATATACAAAATAAGGGACACTGCGTACATGAATGGCATAATTAAAACAAACTCTGCTTGTTTGACAGTGACCCATTGCCAAATAAGATGTCATTAACATTGAAAGTGGAAACTTATGAAAGACAGCTTTACGCTTGAATCCGCTTTCATTCTGAAAGGAGGCAAATATACAGGGACATTGTATTCATATATATACCTAAGCGATCTGATACTTGTCTTCCTGAAAATACACCATTTTGAAACCACACTTCTTAACTCTTGCTTGAAGCCCAAGTTTACAGACATTACAGAAATTCTTTTGCATTTCTGTAATGCTTTCATCAGTGTGCCACATTTTGGAGGCTGCAAGGTGTGCGTATAAGTAAGCAAGTGATACTTGTTATCACTTCAGTAGTCACTTCAGAAACAAGAGATTTCATGTGACATTGCTCATGAAGTTGTATTTAACCGCTGCAACCAGAATATATAATACAAATTGAGATCTGCTATTTTGAAATTGACACTTTTGAGCTCTCATTTTCTCTTCTAATAATCAAGTTATGAAGCTACAATTATTAACAATAGAATTCTCAAGGAATTCTTCATCTGTCTTGAATGATGCGATATTCAACTTTAACATCCCTATAAACGACTCCGCACAACATGTAGCATGAGAAGTTTGCAGGGAAAGGTTCAAGTCTGAAGCCACGAAAAAGAAACCAACCTGTAGGCGTAATACATTTCATATCCGACAGCAGTTTGTATGCCCATTCATGACAAGTGCAAAAACTAAAACGGGGTGTAGAAATTCAAGAGCTTCAAAATGCAGTGCGTCAGAAAGCAAAAAAAAAAAAAGTATTGCAAGTGTATCTTATCTCATACATCTGTAAATGCTTCTCACTAGACCTGTGCCACAATTCTAAATTTATGATATCCTAGCACATTACTGAAACAGACTTCCGTCATTCATGTGATGAATCCTAATTTAGTTCTGTAAGATTACAGTCACCATGACAGATTATTCCCCGTTATGTCCTGAAGCATTTTTTTTTCTTTTTTGACAAACCAGAGTAAGCAAGGTGCCACTAGGACCTAACAGTGTTAAAACATTACATTACTACGACAAAAAATGGACTTGTGGTTTCTCGGTGTGCCTGTTTTAAATTCTATATCTCACATTGTTCGCTGCAGATTTGTGAAAGATAACTCCGAAGTGTTGTAGACCTAATTGTGCTTATGCACTGGCATGCAAGCTGTGGCCCATCATAAACGTGTGGCTCCGCCGCGGTGGTCTAGTGGCTAAGGTACTCGGCTGCTGACCCAATGTCGCGGGATCGAATCCCGGCTGCAGTGGTTGCATTTCCGATGAAGGCGAAAATGTTGTAGGCCCGTGTGCTAAGATTTGGGTGCACGTTAAAGAACCCCAGGTGGTCGAAATTTCCGGAGCCCTCCACTACGGCGTCTCTCATAATCATACGGTGGTTTTGGGACGTTAAACACGACATATCATTCAATCATAAACATGTGGTTCAAGCCTGCGGTTCTAAGCGCAACATAAGGCTGAGTTTTTTTTAGGGGTGTAGCGCCGCGTTCGAAAATTATAAGAAAGAAGTTGACAGGAACAAGGCGCCCTGTCAACACCCTTGTTCAGTATGAGGCTGAGGCTAGGGCGTGCCCAACAGAATATCAATTACTAGTGTAGCACAAACAAAACGTCCTTTTGAAGGTCTGCTAGGCGTATTTAAGGAACTCTCGATGAGCATTAGGGCCATGACACATGTACTACGAGAAAACTAAGATATCTAAAATTGTTTTTAGTATAACAAAGCGGGTTACAGAACATCACTAGATGTAACAACCAGTTTATCCCCCTCCCTTACCAGAACGATCAGGCCGCAACCGGCTCATTATTACTATCAGAGAAGACCAGCGCTTAACAAAAAAGAAAAATCATTGCAGGGGCGAGATTGCAGTACCAGGGTTCTCTAATAACAAGCCCAGCGACCCCCCACCCACACTAGAAAAAAAAAAACGAAAACAGTAGCTCTGCGTGGACATCACCGAAAGCGCGCGAACACCGAACCGCGAAACTAAACTTACAACACCGCAAGTGAACACAGACGCACGTTGCAACCCCTCACCCTCTCCCAGCCTTAGGCCTCCTCTCCACCGAGTTTGAATGAGATCTCAGGAGCGCGCGGGTGAGGGGGTTGTGGGTGTGCGAAACCAAACACACGTGTTCCTTGCTGCACTTCGCAGCGCTAACACACGACGTAAACACAACCGCATGTGTGATTGTTACATCATCGCACCCCCCCCCCCCTCCCGCCGATTGGCGCCGTAGCATAATACGAAACAAAACACACAAAAACACTCACCGAACGTAGACTTGCCGCAGAGCGAGCGATGCATTGGCGCACGCCTTGGGAAAGTTGAGTTTGTCAAGAATGTAATCCCACTTGAGTAGGTCGTTCACCTGAAAGGCAACACGAGAAGGGTGTGTTTTGTTTTCTTCACGAAGGCAGCGGCCGGGCGAAAAAACACCGATCGCGTTTCTTCTCACGGGAAAAAAAAATCTAGATCGGCGACGGACAATGATCGAGGGCTGCGAAACGAACAAAAAAAAAACGGCAATAGGCCCATGTCTGGTTGCTTTTCGAGCCCCCACCGTCTACTTCGGCTGCGACGCAAGCGAGCAAGCAATGCAAGCAGCCGCAAAGCGGCCAAAGAGACATCCACGTTAGTCCTAGCGCAGTCAAGGGGCCCCCGTCTTTGTTTCAAAAAAGACAGTTAAAAATTTAGTCGGGGCCCCGCGAGATGACGAGCGACGCGAAGACCGGTAGACCGCGAAGCGACCGCAAGTCGGCCTAGGTGTCCGCACCGACGAAGCAAGGGGCCAGCCACCGTTCGTGCACGCCAGTCGGTACCCCCCCACCGTACTTTTACCCTCCCCCACCGATCGTCGCCGATCCACACACACACGGGTCATTCAAACGCTCGCACGCCCAAATTGCGGTCCAAAACAAGACTGCGGACGCTTCGCGCGGTGTCTAGAGGGTCCCGACGACGCGACGAGCGAGACCGGTCCCGAACCCGCGAGACGTTTAGCTAGGCAAACTCGAAAAAAAGAAAGTCCCAACCCCGAGAGACGGTCCTCCCCTCGCTTACCTTCTGCCATCCGCCGATCGCCGTCACGCTGTTGTACAGGGCGAAAAGATCCACTTCTCGACCATTTATCCGGGGTGCGTGACGGAACGGACTCCTGCGATCGACGACCCAAGGGTCAGAACCCGGCGAGGAAAAAAAGCCGGCGCGCGAGGCAACACAAGCACCAACCCCCGAGCAAAAACTCTTTCCCCCACAATGGCTCGCCATTCGGGAAGCGATATAAACTTACCCTCGGCTTTCGTGGAACTTTTGCAGCTCGAGCGTGAACGACGACGAGTCCTTGGTGTAGTCGCCAGGTTCCTTGTGAAGCTTTTCCATGACTCTTCAAGAGCGCGCGCGCGCAAAGCGGCGGGCCGCCTCGCACACACACACACGCGCACACACGCTAGCAGCTCCTCACCTGACGTTCATCGGGTGTGTGTTCACTTTGCGGGGGCCCTCTACGAGCTAAGCCTCGTTACGAGTGCGCCAGCACTTTCCCGGCAACGGCGCCGAAACGCGCACGATTTTGCGCTTCGACCACGATCACATCTCGGGACCCGAGCACCGCACATCCTAGAGCACCGCGTAGTCGTCACGACGAGGTGTAGAAGAAAAAAAAAAAAAAGGCCGAGCCACCACTATCGCACCGGAGGCCCCAAAACGTCACAAGGTTAGAAAACGGCTCCAACAAGAATAAAATAAAGATATCGGTGTCATTACATACTCTTCCCTCCTCCTCCTCTCTCACAGCTATTGTCCCCCACCAAGATGGCTGAAGCGGCAACGGCGACTCAGGTTGGATTTCGCGATTGTTTCGCGCTCATTTATTGGTATTCGGTTCATTTCGCGAATCGCGCGAGCATTGAGATTACAATCACGTCTTCCAAATGATCAGCGGCGTCGGTGGTGTCAATATTTCGCAAATAATAAAGGTGAAACCTTCTCGATGTTGCGCCTCTGTATGTTGTTCATTGTGTCTCGTTCAGTTCCTGCAGTCGTGTAGTTGTTATTTATTTTATACTGTTATTATTAAGCTGTTTGGCACGCACTGTACGATCGACGTTTCGCCCTCGCCTCGGAGCACATAACGTTCTTTATTTCCAAATTAACATGATCGAGTAGGCGACACGGAAAGCGTATGCAAACTAATCGTTAGCGTTGTCGAAGTGCTAATACAAGTGGCGCCATCTTTTGATAACAAAGGATAACATGCTGCAAACGTGTGACTGATCGGCCTTAGCTCTTAATTGTATTTGTTGTTTCGTGTACTTCCGTTTGCAGTAAGGCGTGAAAAAGAAAAGACCCCAGGCTAATGCACCTGAAAAGGCTGCATGCACATGCAGCGTCATTCCGTCCCTTGCGCAGAGTGTTATTTCTCGTATTTTTATTTCAAGCACGATTAAGCGACACGCTTTATGTTCCTCTCAAAAACATTCAACCACGAAGTCCTCTTCTAACACTCATTTGTTGAAAGTGCTGTGATTGGCAGTGATCGGTACAGATCTCTCGCATCACAATTGGCTGAGGTTGCGGAAGGAACCAATCACGTTTGAGAAATTTGATTCGGATCGGTCTTTATCGCGATACAAAGTCCACCGTGCCACGCCGGTATTAAATGTTATATATTTAATCTAACTGAGAGAGAATTGTAATGGTCGCATGTGCGTTGTCTGCTGGTGTTGTAATCTATTCGTCTGAAATGTAGTGGAATTACTGTAATAAAATGCTGCGGTCATGGAGCAAGTATTTAACAAATGTTATCTATGGATAACCTTTGTGAAACCGAAACATAATTAAAATTTTGCCTTAAAGATTGTCGTTTCAGCGTGAGGAAGGAATCTCATGGACTCTATAATTGAAAAGAGAGCGTAGATTTAAACATATGTAGCGCTTTTTTTAACCAATAAAAAATTAATTTTTGCTTCCGATGGAAGAAGCAGGAATATGATTTTTATACTTTAATTTTTCTTGTGTTTTTGGAAGTAGGTAGCACCACTAATATTGCGGTTAAAATTTTAACTATGTTGTGTGCATGCACTGCACGCACGCGGTAACAGTGTACCATAACAGTGTACTGAATAATTGCCATAACAGTGTACTAGAATAGTACACTGTACTTACCATAGAGTTTATGTTCTTTACGGCCTTCTCAGCTCGTCACGAAAACAATGGGAGAGTTTCTGAGCATTGTTTTGTCACCCGTCGGCGGTAGGGGCGCTTTGTCCCTGACCTTGCATTTCCTGCACAGCGCACACAGCTAGCGCCTGACATGGCACAAAAACTGCTTGATGTGAAACCAAGGAATCGGTGTTCTGGACGAAGAGGAGGGATGGGGGGTTATTCAAGAACTCGGGAGTAGAGGGAGGATCGTCCCTTCAAAAAACTTAATGTTATCAGATGACTCGGATGCATGTGCTCGTGAGTAATACAAGCTGAAACTGGGTAAAAATGCGGAAGAATCGGTTAACGAGGGGCACAATGCAGGAAGGAATATATATATATATATATATATATATATATATATATATATATATATATATATATATATATATATATATATATATATATATATATATATATATATATATATGAAGCCTGGAATGGGAACAGTTAGGGATAAGCGTTACTGGAGAGTACCTTAAGAGTTAATGGAGAGTACCTTAGTAACCTGCGCTTCGCCGATGACATTGCATTGCTGAGTAACTCAGGGGACGAATTGCAAATCATGATTACGGAGTTAGTCAAGGAGAGCAGAAAGGTGGGTCTTAAAATGAATCTGCAGAAAACGAAAGTAATGTACAACAACCTCGGAAAAGAGCAGCGCTTCGAGATAGGTTCACTTTAAGTTGTAAAAGACTATGTCTACTTAGGGCAGGTAATAACCATGGAGCCGAACCACGAGATTGAAGTAACTAGAAGAATAAGAATGGGGTAGAGCACATTTGGCAAGCACTCTCAAATTATGACAGGTACATTTCCACTATCCCTCAAGAGGAAGGTATATAACAGCTGTATCTGGCCGGTACTTAGCTACGGAGCAGAAACCTGGGGACTTACAAATAGGGTTCAGCTTAAATTGAGGACGACGCAGCGAGCAATGGAAAGAAAAATGGTAGGTGCAACCTTAAGAGACAAGAAGAGAGCAGAGTGGATTAGGGAACAAACGGGGGTTGAGTATATCATAGCTGAAATCAAGAAGAAGAAATGGACATGGGCCGGGCATGTAGCGCGCAGACAAGATAATCGGTGGTCATTAAGGGTAACTAACTGGATTCCCAGAGGAGGCAAGCGGGTTAGGGGGAGACAGAAGGTTAGGTGGGCAGATGAGATTAAGAAGTTTGCGGGTATAAATTGGCAGCAGTAAGCACAGGACCGGGTTAACTGGCGGAACATGGGAGAGGCCTTTGTCCTGCAGTGGACGTAGTCAGGCTGATGATGATAATATATATATATATATATATATATATATATATATATATATATATATATATATATATATATATATATATATATATATATATATATATATATATATATATATATATATATATATATATATATATATATATATATATATATATATATATATATATAAACGCAACGCTGCATCTGTTCTGCAAGCAGAAAGAGCACCAAACACGTTTGGCTTTTGATAGCTCGTCGGTGTTTACAGAAATAACGAGCTCGCCTTCTCCTTGCTTGCTATTGTCTATTTTGTTATTTTTCCAAATCCAGCTGGAGTGGTTTTCACGTCTAAAAGCTGCGGTCTGCAAACAGCTCTTTCAAACCCGCAAATGAGTTAATTGTATCTCTAATAGTTAAAAACAACTGCGTATAGAGAGAAAGAAAGTAAAAACAAAACGTAGGACTCTTGATGCTTAATAACCCCTTCGCACGGTACGCTCCGAGTGTGGTGGTGTGCATTGTCTAGGTGTTAACACCACCTATATTTGGAAACATTAATTTTGGAGAACCTAAGCTCTTTTCCGTTCCTTTTTACTGCAAGCCGCATCCATGAAGAACGCAGCTGCTTACGCTCGCAAACCGCTTGCCTTGGAACTAAAAATCTCTAGTGGAAATCAGCTCTGAGCTATCCTTCGAGTTCGTGGAAGAACATGTTTGGAAAGAGAAACTGACAAAATTCCAGCTTTTCAGTCAGTAAGCAGCTTCTTTTCTAAGAAATCTGTACGAATTCTCTTGTGGCTTAGTGCTACAAGCGGGCTGTTGTCAATTTCTCTTTCTATCTAGGGTGGCTTGCTTTATTCTGGGATTCGCCTACCACGGCTGTGTTTCGTTCGTTGCTTTTTCACTGTCCAGCCTGCAGTGATTTCTCGACTCGAGAAGATGGTTACACAAAGCACAGAACGCATACGTACGTACATGAATATATATGTGATCTACAGGATCACATATATGCTGTTTTCCGTATTGCAAGTCCCGTTCGGTGGAAAACACCCCGTGTTTATTTTCACCAATTCCAAGCAGTGCTGAGCTGCGCACTAAGTGTCAAAAGATTATTGCGAGATCAACCTCATCATCAACGGCAAGTCTGCATCGACTGTCGTATGCAGCAGACATTTCCGCGCTGAAAACTTCTCCCCGACTCCCGCCTACTCTCTTCGAGGACTATCATTCCAACTTGAGTCCAAGTGGGTCCGCAGATATCAACCGAAAAATTCCTAGGATTTCTCCTCGACAATCACGCAAACCAACTGGCTGACGCCGCAAACTACAAGCCTTGCACTATACACAAGCCGACTGTATAAGAAGCATTTCATATTGCGAACAAGCCATTTGTCAAGTACGGCACATGTCTCCCTTGAAAGTGTCTAACTATTTTCTGTGCTTGCAAGCAATAAATATCTATTTCGAGACTTCTAGAATGTCTACACTTTTGATGGCAGTGAGTTGTACTCTCGGCTTTTGTATTTACACGTTGCGTATGTAAGAAGTCAAAATAAACTATTTATGTGTCTTCAACGATTAGGGAACTTGTTTTTCAACGCGTGGTGAGTAAAGAAGCGCACCCGAACTCATGTGCCGGTGTTGTGCATGCTGCACGGAGCAGCGGAGGCAATTGGAAAGTAACGTTGGGAAAATAGAGTAACTCTAGGAGGGTCAGGGTCGCAGCGCTTCACTCAAAGCAGCGGCGAGAAGCATGTACTACACCCGATGCGTAAGTCCGTAAGAAGTACGGAGGAAGGAAAGGTAAGAAGCGAGCGCGCGACTGCAGTCTAGTGCGGCGGTGTGTTGTATGGGTCTATTATACTGTAGCCAAGAGTTTTATACTATTAATGTATAAAGCTTTGTGTTTTGTAGATTGTGTGAGTTTTAGTGTATTGTATTTGCTACGGTTTGCGTTGTGGTGTTATTATGCATACAAATATCAAGTTTATGGTGGTGGTAGATTGCGAAAACTTGTCGTTGCGGCGCTTTTTAGAACTAACGTTAATGACGTCATACCGGAAGTATAGATTTTTCATTCCGGAAAACTGCAGTCTAGTCACGTGATACAATCATAACGCACTAGAATCAGCATCGCAGGTAAAGTGATCTTTAACGCAGGGACGTGATGCTCCATCCAAGAGGGCTCAATCCTCCGCAAACTCGGGGCGCCCAGCCGGCGCTCTTCTAAGGAGGGTCGCCGTTTCAATGACGGCATGGAATAAGCTTAGGCAAGAGAGCTAAAATAACGAGGAACAAGTTCCCCTGCATCAACTACGATAAGAACTCCTCCGAGACCTCGAAGACCACCACAATGGACCAGTCCTACCGTGCCGTGCACTGCCCGATTCGGTCGAAATCCAGCTCCCGCACGTCGAGCAGACCCTCTCGTGGGACTGCGGTGTGTCTTGCGTGGCGATGGTGCTGTCGCCCGAACAGCGCAGTGATCTGCTTCTCAACAGAGATCAGATAGGCCGCGAAGAAGGATACCACCAGAGTACCTGGACGATCGACCTTGTGCTACCTGCTGCGGCGGTTCGGCGTGGACCACGTCTACGCCACGGTCACCCTGGGTGTGAATCCCATGTTCCAGAAGGAATGCTACTACAAGAAGTCCTTACAGTGGGACTTCCAAAGGGTCGAAGACCGCTTCCGCGACGCCGCGTCGCACGGTCTCACCGTTTGCCGGAGGTCCACCACGGTTGCCGAGCTGCTGGATCACCTCGGGCGCGGCGGCCCAGGTAATCGTCCTCGTCGACCACGGTCAGCTGCACTGCGATTCGTGTCAGAAAAACAAAGTCGTCGCTAAGGTGGCCGGGGTGTTCGCGCGCTACGCGCCGTACCAGGGCCACTACATCGTGTTGTGCGGATACAAGCTCAAGGAGAGGAAATTCCTCTTCCGGAATCCCTCAAAAAGCGATCGCCTGTGCAGCGTCACTTTCGAAACCTTGGACAGAGCTCGCAAGCGCCTGGGCACCGACGAAGACGTCATATTCGTCAACACCTCCTCGCAAGATTTTTCCTCGTAAGAGAAACGACGACGAAGTGGAGTAGTTGGGGAGTGTCAAGGTTCTGTTTGGCGTTGCGTAAGCTGTTGTCTGGGGAATTTTTAGCGCAACGCAGATGGTGTCGGCGTAAACTGTGACGTAAAGGTGTGAAGCTGCGTTGGTGGCGCTACCTCGCGACGCCGTGGTCAACTAACATGCGTAAGCGCTTGTAGCTTACTGTATTCTACTTGCCATCTAGCCTAAATGGCAGCGATATAATCGTCCAAAAAATATATATTCTTTTGTAATTTTATTGATTTTTAAGGACAGTTGTCCGAGATGCGAATCCTTCAATCACATGAAAGTTGATCACAGCTTTTGAAAGGTGCCACCAGCCAGCTTTTCATATCCTGAATGCACATTCCAGTTAAACGCATGACATTACTTCTTCGTTGTGCTAAAACAGCAAGAAAAAAAAAACTTGTTGACTTAGGAGAGCTTAACACTGTCGGCATTTATTAATAGTTACTAAAGAGTCTAATGCCATTGACCTCACCTACATGACTTGCATATAACATTTCAGGGAGGGAAGGTCACAAGCTGCAGGCTTCCTACCGTACATGAATAAAGAAGCCTCAGCAACTCTTAGTTCCTTCTTTTTGAGTGATTTGAATGTGCATTGTACTCAAATCACCAGCTTGTTCCAGTGACTGTCTGAACGTTGGTGCAATGTTGGTTATGCGCATTAATGCTATCCTAGTATGTTCGTGTGTGGTCTACCCTACTACGGAAGACCAGGAAAACAGTTGTTGACTTGTTAATTCTCAAACCTGTTAATCCACGAGTGTCTTTTGCGGGAAAGGTGCTAATTTTTACTGCCACCTGTTTGTTGCTCACCTTGAAACATTGAACTCTGTTGTTTTTAGTTAGTGTAGCAGGACTTCAATTGTTGTGATCATGCATAGAAGTCAACTTACTTAACGAGACAGTTTTTTTAGCAGACAAGGAGCCCGATGGTATGCTGATTTTATATTATATGTATCCGCCCAAGTTCTGAAGAGTTATATTGTGATCTCATTGTGCCAATAGGTGCTTGTAATGCCCTCTTTGCAATATTTTTATTGTTTTTATTGTCTAATCGCTTTGACCGTGTGATAAAGGGTCACTGACGGGTTGTTCGTAGGTACTATGAAACATTGTGAAAAGAACTGAAACAAACAAAACTCACTATGTTGAAGGAATGTGTTTCTGTTTTGTTTTATCATGTTTAGCGCTACTATGTGATCTTTGTAATCAAGCTAAACTTAAATATTCTGGTGAGGCTGAATAACGTATTCGACCGACTTAGTACTACGCCTGTATCTCCTGCATAAGCAATTTTTCCAATATTTCACTAATGATGGTCGTCATGCCCTAACTCGCACCTGAAGGATAGACCAGATGTGAGTGACATGTGCTTGTTGCCTTCCTAGCAGCATTTGTAGATAGTTTTCTTATTATTTCCTTTTCTCAGCCATAGTATGTCTATTCAGCTAGCGTTTTCTCCTTCCTATTTGTTTTTATGAGTGTTTGACCTGCAAAAAATAGGCCATTTTCCAGTACTATAAATAGCTTATTTCGCCTTTTTCAGTTTTTCTTGGTATCTATGTCCCCTCTGCACCTAATATTTCAACCTGTAAGTGCTTCAGTGCATATTTATGCCATGATGTCGTATACATTGTTGCATACGTCAGATCCGTCATTGTATACTCCTATAGCAAGAGCAGTTGACGTTGTGCCAAACGTACATTGTAAGTACGCCGCTTGTTGCAGCCCAGTACGACAGGTAGTGTGATGCGTGTTCTGGGGTTGTCTGCTTGCGTAGAATTACAGGACTTGAGAAATGTCACTGCATGTTTTCGTGATATACTCCTGTTATAGCATGGCATTTGCCACTAGCAGAACCCACTATCTGTGATTGTTGGTTGTACCAGAGTAGCAGGATAAAACTCATCTTCGGTGTTTGCCCATCGCTAAACTCAACCTCAAACTTTGCAGTTTTATGCATGTTTACTGCTTCAGACAACAAAGAGCTCGTCGCATGCTCCAGGCAATCGCATTCATACTCTAGGCAATCGCTTCATTTGGTTCGCCTCCATTTTTGTGGCCCCATTTTTCGCCTTGCTCAAGCGCTGCCATGAAATGCAGGTGGTGTTTCCAAGATGCAAAGGATACTTTTTTGTGTAACGATATTAGTTTTGCTTTTGTTGTGTACTCTCATAAACTTTCTCAGTCATGGTAGAGGAGCTTAAGTTAGCATGTCTCACTTGTTGAAATGTCACTCTGTGCTGTTGTTCGCGCAGCTTGCCGTGTTGAGTGCTAACAGCTAGCTTGGAACCCCTCATACAGGTTCTGATGAAACCTTGATTAAATCAAAGTTTTTATTTCACTGTTAATATAATTTGTGATCTACTATAGTCATAACATTTTCGTGACCTCGAGCACCTTTTGAATGTTCCAGAAGTTGACTCTGTCATACAGACACAAATGTGGGTGACCGGCTTCAGGTTGGAAACATAACTGTCCTGGTGAATTTCAGTCAGGCATTCTGAAATCTCTGTTCAGCCAAACAATTGTCTTGGTAGTGATGATGAACCTTGAATCATTAATGTGTTGATTACATTGGCCAAAAAGTTTGCATAATATGCATAATTTACATTAGCCAACAACAGTACCTATGATTTTAGTAGATACCTGCTAGAATAACTGTCTTTCACAGGTGAATAAAAAGTGTGCTGTGGTTCTGTGGACAGAGCCAACATTTTTTTTTATAAATTATAATCAAGCAAAATTACTCTCCATTCTAATAATGTTCATGTGTTAATGCTGAATGTCATTATCTCCACACTTACCAATTTTTGTTGTTCCTGCTCGGTGATTCGCAACTGTGGCGTGTTGCCAAGTCTTTGGGTGCTTCTTTGCCGTACTTGCATGACATCTATGCAAAACCTTCTGGTAGCTATAATCACTGGCTATAGACCATACTTCTCTCGTAACTAACATCTATAGTATGTGTCAGGCTGTGTCATAACAGCACTGTCCGATATTGAGTATGATGCATTTAAATGGTGCGCAAGACTAGCATGTGCCACAGTAACTACATGAATCACTTGAATTTCCCCAACAAAAACCTTTTGTCCTCGACTATTGAGTCCAATTCACACAGCTGTCAAATACTTTGTCACCATCGCAGCATCCATCATGACATCGCATTTTCTCATGATGTGCCTGTGAAATTCGGTATCTTAACATCACTGGCATCTTATTTTCGAAGGGAAAGCTACATGAAAATTAGCTTTAGGACAAATCGCTTTGACAGTGATGTGACAGCATTTGTTAGCTGTGGGCATCAGGTCTTAGATGAATGCGCATGATTGTGGGGCTGGTAGAGTAGTGTGCCTGTAATACAGGCTTACTGAAGCAGACGGTCTTGTTAAGCAAGCGGCTGCAACTGTTCGGAGTCAAACTCATTCAGGTTTCAGAATCAGAAGCAGGTTTGTTGTGCGTACTACCGGTAGGTTGTGGATGCCTGAATCGGTATGACTGATTGTGGCAGAAACCTTACAAATTTAAAGCCTGCATATATCTGTCTCAATGCATTTTCATTCCACATATATCCATTTAGATGTAGTTGCATGTTAAACAACTCTGGTGGCCTCAGTCTAAAGCCTATACAATAATTCCTTTTAACCCCCTGTACTGGGGGCCTATACAGTACCATAGAATATGGAATACTATTCAGTGTTAGTCACCCCCACCCCCTCCCAATTGGCCATTCCAACATTTGGGTGCCCATGGCGTGAAACATGACACAGAGCAAACAAAATAGTTTTCTGCATCTTGGGGTACGACATAGGCCTACAAAGGAGCATTTACAATCCTATCAACGTGCCACGCAAGCGATGGCTTGGCCTACAAGACGCACAAATTTAGAGTGTTGCTACCTTTCTATAATGCTAGTGAACCATTGCTTTGCTTGCAATTTATGCACTAGTACTGGATGTACCTTTGCGAAGAACTGTAGAGTGTTGTTACCTTTCTAGAATGCTAGTGAACCATTGATTTTCTTGCAATTTATGCACTAGTACTGGATGTACCTTTGCGGAGGACATCGTTAGTCATCTATTCCTTGGTGCAAATCGTGAGATTGGTTTGCAATTGCAAAGCCTCTAAAATCTGGCATTATTCTGTCGCCCACCATAGTTGCTTAGTCGCCAGTGTTCTGTGAGGTCGAGGGTTTGATTCCTAACTTCATCAGCTAGGTTTCGATAGAAGGTGAAACACTAGCGTGAATAGATTTAAGTGATACCGAAGTGTTGAACATAATATGAAACCCTTCATCACAGTGTCTGTCATAACTGTGTTATTATCTTAGACATGTGGATCAATTTATGGTCCACATGCCGCTACGGATTCAGTCTAAAAGCATCAAAAGGAACATTTGACGTGCATGTCGACCACTTAGTGTCGCTAGCAAAGCAGTAAAACCAGTCACATAGCACGGATACTTACAGTGCATGTGCCGCGACATAACGCCGTAGCCCTCATCTAAGATTGCTAGCCAATTCACTATTCGCTTTGGGTACCACTTATGAAGTGCCGAAATGTTTTTGTTAGACAATCACTGAAACCGTGCAAGTGTGAATTTCTGCATTTAGAAGAAAAACTGTTTGGATGGAATGTTTTTGTTCATGCTCTGTAATGTTTACCACATGAGAATCTACTAATAAAAAAATATGAAATTGAGGCATAATGTTTTTGCAATGGTCCACAGACTGTAATGATAATTCAGCAAATTGCACATGTTTGCATGATATAGGTGGATGGATCAAAAAAACCTTATCAAGGTCCTTCGAAACACGCTCTAGCAACAGGTGCTCAGCTTTTCAATTATTTATCTAAAAGTTCAACTTTCATCACATCTCAAAACTTTTATGTTGTGCATGAACTACGGTGACAACTGTTGTGTGAATCTTAGCATCCAGCTACAGGGCACAAGGACAGCACATAATTATAACGAAGACAGTGCCAGTCTTAGCTGTGTGTTCACGCCATACTTGTTTTACAGGGAAAGCTGTTGTGATATCACAAAAAGGACCATTTTTGGCGTTGCAGTTGTCCGTCGCTACTGGTGTCTGTAACTACTATCGCTCGAAATAAGACAGAAAGGTAAAGAAGAAAAAGCATACAGGACTGACAGGGTTTAAACCTGGATCCTCTCCATAGCAGCCCAGTATTCTACCACAGAGCCATGCCAGTGCATCAAATTTCTTTGCAAAAAAACCCTATACAGCTGTTAAGTTGAGAAGGAACTGCGGTAACATATTGTCACGTTGCTTCAGAGGTCCAAGTGGGGTTTATTGGATGTAGAGATGGAGCAGCATTGCTTCCAGACGCGTCGCTTGGGTGTGCACTCGAGAGGGAATAGCCCTGTATTTATTTTTTTTTGGCCTGTGCTCTTGAATAACCACGTCACCCACTACTACAGGTGGCACTATTCCCTCTTCCACGAAAAACAAGGCAGTTAGGTGTAAGAAAAAAAAAGAGAATAAAGATAAAAATTAGACTGCGAAAATATAAGGATGATGAAATACTAAGCTCACGCAGTCAATGAAAGTTTTGGCTTGTCCAAAAATGGAAATGAACGTAGCAGAAATTATGAAGAAACAAAATGAGGCTTCATGCGCACGCCATCAACTATGTCCGGGCTCGGTTCTCTTCTTTGTATTTATGCTCACGACCCACAGTCCTAGAATTACTTCGTAGTTCACGTCACTCGTGCGGCGAAAGCGTCGTTAACCAAGGTCCAGAGGCAGCGGCGCGAGAGGCACTGGAAACAGTCGTCCATCTCGGCAGAAGACTAAAATAATTACCAAGCGTCACACAGTGCAAATTCAGTAACCGGGCGTCGCACAATACGAGTTGCGCAATGAGAGGGTCGTTGAACGCAAAGGGCCGAATCGAAATTCGTCATCAGCCACCGCACCAGCAAAGCGCTCGTAATGCTTTGCAAATGTGTAGCAGGCACCTCACTTCGCTGCAGAATGACGAATAATGGCAGCGAGTGCTTCCCAAATTTATAAAAATTGCAATTTATGGCCTAGTGGATATCTTGCAAGAGTACTTGTACTGGTACCAAAAAGAGTGTTTATGACGGCTTCTAGAATGAATGTATAAAAGTTCGTTATCCAGCATTTGCTGCGACTGTGCTGAACTTTCTCCACAGGCCTGACATTTTTTCGTTCAGTGCTAGATGCCGAAATTGAACATACTAACATGTTTAAACTTATTTTATCTCGCACAATGTGTATATATAAATGCTATTAGATATATAGTCATTTACCAGTTATGTTTACGTAAAAGTCCTGGTTGGTCTTATTGTTAGTTAAACGTGACATTTACCAATTAAATACACTATACAACGACTATATTGCAACACTCAAATATGCAGTGCATAATTAATTATGCAGGGCAACAATCTTGCTTTCATATCTTTAATGTTATGTTAGCTTGACAGCATGGCATTGTTTCCTAGTCATAAGTACATCCTTGCCAAATAAGGATGATACGTTTTTCAATTCACACAGAGGCAGAACTGAGAATGCATTGTTTTATTTCCACTGTACGAGAAATGCAGTGTTTTGCACGTTGGTGACATATTTACATCTCACGAAAAAAAAAAGAGGAGGCGGTGGTTGCTCGAAGTTGAAAATGTACCACCCCTTTTCTCCATTCTTCATCTGGTGTTATTACAAAAATAAATATGGTTCTTCTCTGACGCAAAACACTACCGCACTTCCTGAAAAAAAAAATAATAATAAATTCGACACGTCAACGTGGTCAGGCAAGCGAGAGGCATCGAAAATAAGTTCAGGCGATCCACAATTTCTAGCATGAAAATTATGACCGTGAATGCCGGTCAGCACATTTCACGAGTATTGGTCTCAGTGTTAATATCTGTCTCAATGACGCATTTTTAAAGAACAGCAAGTTCCCCGAAATCCAGGCAATTACTATTTACACCTAAGCAGATAAAAAAAAAAATGCTGCAGCCTTCAAGTTAAGGTACATATTTACAAAGTCTACAAAATGTCTGAAAGCGTGCTCAAAACTATCTGCAGGACTATGTGGATTGCCCGGTAAACGAAATGAACAATGTGTCAAATACTGTCGGCTATTGCTAGACACCAAAGATCCTTAAATTAGAGAGACGCGGACATAAATTTAGCTTTAAAAGAAGATTGTCATCCACATTCTTGCCAGGCAACGGTCATCATGGCTGCGAAGACAATGGAACTAATGCACCATCTTGAGAGCTCGATGAACGTTCGGCAATGAAGAATTTCTTCGTAACGTGCAAGGCCGAAATGACGCGCTTGAAAGTGAGGCCCAGAAATTTGTCGCCAACCGCACGGATCTGACGGCGGCACAAGTATGGATGACGACATTATGGCACCCAAAACGCATGGCTGCAGTTCCATTTCTCGACGCGGAAAAGGACTTGTAGATGAATGGCGTCGCATTTACTAAAAACGTGGCACAGCGGTGCACCCGGTTTAACTTAAACATGAATAAAATGCCCACTTATTGTGCAAAGTGAGCGTTCGCAACAAGCAACAAGTGCCGTCTCTGGAAAGATAACTGCAATGCTAAAGCAAGTGACGGTCAGAAAAACATGTTCCGTACTTGCAAAGATTTAACAAAAATGCAAATGGAAGGCAAGCCATAAAATTGGTCATGGTAATAAAACCCTCTCTGTACTTTCAGAGATTTGCATGACTTGAGTGGTAGTTTGTAACTGACCACAGCTCACATTGGAGGAAGCCATCCCGAAATGTTAGCTTGATGGTCTTTAAAAATGAAATGCGGGGGAAAAAAAAACGTGTATCGCACAGTACACATAGCAAGTCGCTTCACGGTGGCAGCAGTGAAGAACTTGTATACCAACACGGCCTCATCTTTTTGCAGACATTGTGCAAGAACGTAATTCAGCGCAACAGATTGCACAAAAACGGCTCGGCAGCAGACTGTAGGCCTTACGGGTGGCTGGAAATGGACGATCGTAAATTGCAACGGTATCAATGGCTTTTGGCAATAACACAAACATTTGCCCGTTGCAACTGTCACACTTGTGTGGGACATCGTAATCACAGGCATAGTTCACCACACTCACCATGCGGAATGAAAATTCAGAACACAAAAGAATGCATGTTCTAGCTGGCATAAATTTGGATGCAGCTTTGAGACCAATAAAGCTTTCATAGCAGCACAGGTGCCAGTGATTGCTGTAAAAATGTTACTGAGAAATAAGCTAAAGTGAATAAGACGAAGAAAAAGAAAGAAGATGCTTTCAAGTAAAAAAAAGTGCTGAAGGCAAGTTGGTCACAACAGGAAGTCTTAGCATAAAACACGGAAAACAACAGCAGCACAAAAAAGCTAACAGATTCAACAATGTTATATTTAAACGAATCCATCTTCAACAGGCATTTACGGGGAGAGCACTTCTCATACGGACAGCCCCGAAAAATTCTACACGATCATCCAATGCAGCCACCTTCCCAACAAATTCACATTTCAATTCGTGTTTCCGCAAACAGTTCACGTAAGACGGATCGATTCCCTACGAAAAAAATTACAAGTTTGGCGCAAACAGAGCTTTGCGCCGATCATCGTTCCAACTCTAATGTCAATGTGCGCTGGTGCAAACGACTTTCCGAAGCTTGTTGGCATGGCGCAGAGGAGGCGCTTCAACTCCTCCGCTTCCGGCGTCGACTGCCACGACTCCGCTCGGACTTGGGCGGCCGCGCCGTTGAAGCATTCTGTCAAGACGACGCATCCGAGGGCGTCGTAGTTGGCGACTCACTGCTCGGAGCGGTAGGCAGCGCCGGATCATTTTCAAGCGTCCGGATGGTCGCTAGCAAGTCCGAGCGCTGCTGGGGAGTCAGCTGCTGGATTATGTGCACGGCCGAGTCCATTATCACCTCGGGGTTGACTTGAAGGGTGCTTTTTGAGGATAAAAGAAACAATTAAATGATCAAGCACAATTGGCTGATGAGCCTGCAAAATATCTATACCAATGTAAACTATTGTTACGACACACTATTGTCAGATTCTTGTATTAATTGAACTCCGGAGTGTTTAACTGGTTGTCAAGAGGTGTTTACAAATTCTGAATATATTTAGAACAAGTTGAATACAATAAAGGTAGGAAATTCCACAAATATTGTATAAAATACTGAATATGCATAAAGTGTTAAAGGGATACTAAAGAAAAAGATTTTCTGCATATTCGTAAATTACAAGCGTGGTGGTTTGAGCTTGTTGGTATGACATAAGGACCGTTATAGTGCGAGCTCAGAACGACGACAAAGGAAAGAATACTAGCGCTAAAATACATAAATTATAATTTCACGATACCAAGAGGCCACTTTCACCATGAGAAGACCCTTGGTAAGCAAAAAAACATGCAAAAAGAAAATTTAGGTGATGGTGCCACCTTGAAGTTTCGGCACCAAGCTTTCGACAGCGTCTAATAGGCCAGACATAGCTTCGAAGTGGTAAAAGGAAGCACACTGTTTTCTGGGGGGACCACAGACTTAATATACGAAGTTTGAGGAAATTTTGTTGAGCAAATGTCGCCAAAATATAAAAAAAACACACTTCAACATCTGTGATGACATGCACGAAAATATCAGCACAAAATATACAAATTAAACTTGGACCTTGATTTCCTGCTCTAATAATGTATGATGGTGAAATTAATGACATATTGGTCAGACCACAATTTATCAACCGTAAACCAATTGATTGTTTCATTTTGATGGAAACACCGTTTAAAATAAAGTAAGTTGCAGTACACTACAGTTAAGTTGCTGTAACATGTGTAAGTGTGGAGGACCTCACTCGGAACTGAGGTGGCAGGACGTAACGCAATGCTGGGGTACAGCCGCTTCCTTTATTGAACATTTAAACATTCGTTAACAATACTCTCAACAGTTCATTTACTACATCTATTTGTACAACCCAGAAGTGGAATCTACACGCTGTACAGAAGAGCAGCAGAGCACGGCATAATGAAAAAAAAAGAATAAAAAAAAACTTGCTCAACAGTGTATTTTGGGTGTGGAGTGCGGGTCACTACACGTTCCCACGCAACATTTGGCCAATATGGCGCCATGTACAAACAGCACGGCCCAGAGCACTTGCTCAAAATGACACCAATTATGCACCCATGCGATTCGAAAACGAAACAAGACGTGGCACTCACTTTTTGATTTGGGAGATGGCTGCATCACGCCTCAAGCACTGGATGTTGTCAATGATAAGCGAGCGCCCTATCTTGGGGTCAAGCTGATCTTCGAGCCAGTTGGTGACTGCCAAGTCATTCTCCCACAGATATTGCTGCACGTAGAACAACGCAAGTTCAGTCAGAGCCACACATTCAAACTTCACTATAAACAAGGCTTGCACGAAAATCACTGTTATTCAAAGTGAGCAAAGTCGAGGCAAGGAGTACTTATAATCAAATTGGTCCTAAAGGTAGCATGAAACTTGCACAATCATTCATTGCACAAAAGTTACGGTAATCGCATTTCCCTGCATAGGCATGAGAACTTTTAAACAGCCATGAATAGGGCCGGGTGACAACCATCCTTAAAACTTGCATTTTCAACAATCGCCAGTACCCGTCATGTACCCGTTGCAAAAATACCTTAGGTGATCAGAGTGAAGAACTTGTGCTGCCAAATACGTAAAATGCCAACAGAAGCTTTCGCTCTGACCTTGACAGCACCCATTGATTCGACGAACCACCGGCGCAGCATGCTCTCCATCTCCCCGTCGCCGATCTGCGGCCGCACCTGCTGGATGTCTCGCTTGACAGAGTCTTGCAAGAGGCGGCGTCGCAGCCGCCAGTACAGCTGGTTCCGCGACTTGCTCCAAGGCACTACGTCCTGCGTGCACAGTCAACAACAGCGTGGCCACTCAAGTAAAGCTTTTAAGAAACTCGCAGTCCACTGCAAGGGTAAAAAAAAAATGCAAGTGATAGCAATAAACTCGAATGTCATACGAACAAAGGCTAGCAGCTTACTGCTTTGGCAAACATGGCCACTACAGTGCCTGAATGATCACAGTGTGGTCTAGGAGTTCAAACACAAACACCGCCATCGAAGAGATACTGTATGCATGCGAGCATACATACGGCATGCTCGCATGAGTAAAAAATGGTCAGGCCATGATAATTAAGTTCATTCAGATTAAAAAATGTTTGAAAAAATCCCAAATAATGCCATGCTCCGTGATGTCCTGGGGGACAATCAAACTTGGTTCTATTTGGGCTACGGTAACGTCGCTGGTAGTAGCGTTGGCCATCGCTGTCGCCGCCCGTTGCAAGCGACAAAGTTGGTGGCTCCATGAAACCGCGCAGAACAAAACTTGATGCCGGTTGCAAAAAAGATGCATACACACCTGTTTGATGAAATTTAAAAACACAGTCCGGGCTACTTCCACTTGCGCCGACATCGCACGGCACGTGAGCTATTTTGCCACAGCCAAAACGCTACCGCCGGGGCCGCGATCGAACCCACGTGTTCTAGGAGCACCGTGACCACAAAGTGCTACTGAGAAACAGTGAGCAGCAGCGAGCATGTGACACGGACGATGGCTCATACACATTTGGCACAATAATATCATGACCACGTGCGAAATGACAACCATAAAAACAAACGCCCAGAAAGCTAAAACAACCTACTGGCATGTTAATAATGATGATAACCCTCACTGAAGCCAAGAAAGATCAGACATGGCCTCCGAAACTGGAAGATTATGCGCGCTTCCAATCTTTGAGCCCACACAACTAGCCACTGCAAGCCAAACTCGACCAATCCAAAAGATTCAACGTGGCGGCTTTCAAAATCGAGCGGCGTAGCTCAAAACGACCAATTTAGTAAGGAAAATGGAACTTTGGCACATAAAGTCGTCCACAAAATCGGTTGCAAAAATGCATTAGCGCAATGGGAACCTTGACGGTGCATTTGTGAAGTCCGAAAAATCCGTCAGCAACTATACAGTAAATGGTGCATAAAGCTCATTGTTGGTATGCTGGGGGATGGATGCATTGTGGCAAAGTGGTTACAAACGTCATGTTGCAGAGCGTGCATTAACAGGTTGGAATCTCAGCTTGCGTGCACTTGGAAAATCTTCATGAAGCACTGTGTCTGTGTATTCCTTCTTATGTGTGTCGTCTTTTTGTACGGGTGAATCTATCTAAATCATGAATTCGCCCAAGCAGCAGTTTTAGTGAAGAATATTTCCTCGTGGATTTTATGTGCATACACGTACCAATATATACATACAGAATTACGCGGCCAGCAACAAACCTCCGAGAGTGTCCTCATGGTCGCTATCTCAGTAATACAAGAAAACACCGAAGGTGCAGTCACGAGACGCTGAAAGAGGGACCCACCTGGATGACTCCTTTCTCTTGCATGCGGGCAGGCATGTCGTGCAGGTCGGCAAATGACAGTGCCACCTGGTGGTACATGGGCAGCAACTGTGTCTCACGCTTTCGCAGCTCTGCTTCGAGTGCTGCCTTCTTTTCAGGCTCGGCCGTGCCCAGCAGCGACAGGATCTCGCGACACCTGGTAGGACAAAAATGAAGACACAATTCCAATAAGTAATTAAAGGCTTTATGAGCCAAAACCAAGGTGCCATAGCGAGCCACATCAGTGTGCGGGCAGCTCTGGACTAACTTTCAGAGACCACTGATCGTGAATCATGAATTATCATTGATGGCTGATTATGAGATTGCAAAGTCATGGCATATAGTAGCTGATGGCTTATTGCCGACTACTCACTTTCTGCTGATGACTTATCTCTGATTACTGATTAAGACTAATTACTTATGACTGCTCACTGATTATCTGTGCAATATTCAGTTTTTCAGTGATTGCTAATCATGGCTAACAGCAAGTGACTGATCATAATTCACCACTGAAACTGATCACTACTCACCTGTGGACACTACGGCCACGATGAGGTATACTTTTCGACTACCATTCCTTATCGACTTGGTTGAAACCATACTCCCATTAAATGCACGGCATTTAACTAACCTGGCGTCCACACGGTGCATGGTCTTGAGGAGGTCCTTCTTACGAAAACGGATTTCAACCGTTCCCTCGGGTTCAAGCACGCCACCCCGACTGTCGGGGTCGGCGTACATCTCCATTTGGCGGGGATTGATGGCGGCGTCCACCACAGCCCAAGCGCCACCCCGGAGCTCGCCAAACGGGGGGATGTACACTATCACAGGCTGGCGGTACGTGTGCAGAGCGTCCACGATGTAAGCACCAAACTTCAGCACCTGGTCGTACATGTCTGCAACCGCGGATTAAAGGCACTGCTTGCACAGTTTCCAACTGTTCCTATTTTTGTAGTACACCCAAACCTCAATATAACGAAGTTGCATCTTACGCAAAAATAAGTACGTTAATCTGAAAATTCGTCATAGAGGTATGTTCCTAACACTATGTGTACTGTAAGATTATTCTTCATCCACTTTGTTAAAACCAATATTTTATTATATCCAGGTTTGTCGTATTGAGGCTTGAGTGTATAATTTTAAACCTTACTGCCAGTGGATAAGACCTCAAGGTAAAGCCAACACATAGCTTTGCAAGTTGAAGACAAATGTGCGTACATGTCCAGACTCTGCAGAGTCGAGTTGCAATAGTTGTGCTTGTTACAATAGAGTATGATGGCCTTCAAAAAGGAGTATGGTGGCCCTTAAATATTTTTATGACCGCCTTTAATAAAAAAAGGTACAGTGTCAATCAAACCTAATCTAACTATCTCAGAGAATGGAGTGTAATGGCCTTTAAAAAAGGGGTACTACTACAGCCTTTAAAAAGGAGTACATTTACTATCAAAAGCCTTTATGTTGACCTTTAAGAAAAAAAAAAGTACAATGATCATTTAAAACAAATTCGACTGCCTTGACAGAAGGGCACATAATGAATGGCCTTTAAGGGGAGACGCGGGTCGAAAAGTCGCGTTTTTTTTCCAAATTTCACCTTTTCTGTTTTTTGTTGCTTTATCATCTTTATACATTATATTTTGACATCTGAAAATATCACAGCGAAATAAGCATCAGAAGTCAGTGAAAAACGCGTCTGAGTGAGCGGCAGTGACGCGCGGCATCACGAAATTTACACAAAACGGGCTGCTGTTCGCGTGCTCGCGGGGCCGCGAAGAGAGCTGTCCGCCATATTGCGGCCGCTGGCTCGTGTAGAGTTGTCCTTACTCTCCACGATCCCGGTTCTTGAAGTCTCGTACGTTCACGAAAAATCTAAAAAAAAAGCAACAAAAACAGTCTTTTCCCGCCGTTTCAAACCGCGCGCCACTAACGCAGGGCCGCCATTGGCTGACAGCACCCGTGTTTTCTTGCCGTAGTTCGCTTCACTGTTTTCCGGAGTTATTTTTCGCTGTTTTCGTGCGATGGCAAGCCCGAAAAAGGCCGTTGCCGACCATCGGAAATACAGAAGTAAGAACAAGTTCAGAGGGAAGCGGCGGAGGACGTACAAGAAAGCCACCGCCAACGAAAATGTCCGCGACGGGCCAGCGGCCGGTAGGCCTAACATCGACCACGGCAACGTCGACCATGGCAACTGCGACGACGAGATCAACGCTGCAGTGAATTTTGTGAGTGCATCGCAGAAAAAGATCGCGTTATTCGAAAACGACGTCAGGCCGAATGTCGATCGTGCCGAAAGCGTAGTGCTGTGCGAGTTGGGTGCATTGACGGCCGTCGTCGCAGGCGCGGCATGCCCCGTTTGTCACGAGAGTAAACTCGCAGTTCGGGCACCGAATAAAAAGCGGAAAGGCCTTTCGGCGTTTCTGGAGCTACACTGCGAGAATGCGGAGTGCTCGGAGAGCATCCTTTCGTCCGCGTACTCGTCGAAGCGGGTCGCGTCAGATGGCGGCCGCGGTGCAAGCAGAAGCTACGACAGCGGGAGTTCGCGTGACGCCTTTGCCGTGAACCTGAAAGTGGTGCTTGCAGCGCGTGCCGTCGGTATCGGGCATGAGCAACTTTCACGATTTTGTGCAGTAGTTGGATTGCCAAACCCTATGCACCATAAGACCTTCCATGCTATCGGCAAAAAGATTCACAGTGCGGCAGTGAAGGCTGTCTGTGAAAACATGCAAAGGGCACGCAGCGTCACCAAAGAGGTGGCTGGTAACAGTGACGTGCCAGTCATGTTTGACGGCACATGGCAAAAAAGAGGCCACAAAAGCCACAATGGTGTGGGAACTGTAGTGTCCTTGGACACTGGTTTGTGCCTGGACTATGAAGTGCTTTCCAACTTCTGCCTGGCGTGCAGTTTGCATAACGACATGGGAGGCGATGAAGAAACATGGCAGGCGTTTCATCATCCCGTTTGTGAGAAGAATTGCGACTGTTCTTCGCATGCCATGGAGGCCGAAGCTGCAGTGCGCATTTGGCAGAGGACTGTGGACTATGAGACACCCCTGCGGTTCACCATCTTCCTAAGCGATGGAGACAGCAAGGCCTACAACGGGGTCTGTGATGCCAACGTGTACCCTGACACTCCAATTGAAAAAGAGGAGTGCACCAACCACGTGGCGAAACGTCTGGGCACCGGCCTGCGGAAGCTGCCAACGCCACTTCCACGAGGGGAGAAGCTGAAGGAGACCACCATCCAGAAGCTTCAAACTTACTTTCAGGTGGCCATTGTGAACAATCGGGGAAATGTCCACAAGATGTACACTGCCATATGGGCCTCATGTTTGCACTCGTGCTCAACAGACGGTGCTGGAAGTCACAAGTTCTGTCCTGCAGGCCCAGACTCGTGGTGCAAGCACCGACGTGCTGAGGCGCAGGGCCAGCCTGCACCGTGCCACACCCCCCTCCTGACCAAGGCCCAGGGTTTGGCAGTCCTCCCAATCTACAAGCGTCTCACAGATGCGAAGCTGCTTGCCCGGTGCCTCCACGGCAAGACACAGAACGCGGCCGAGTCCCTGAACAGCAAAATATGGCTGCTGTGTCCAAAGACCCGGTTTGCTTCCCGGACTGCTGTGGAAACAGCCACAGCCATTGCAGTCCTGTGGTTCAACCGGGGCCACGCGAGCTTTGAAAAGGTGCTGGAAGAGCTTGGGGTGCTTCCTTCGGAGGCCCTGGTTACCCTCAGCGACCGCCGAGACAGCATGCGCATGCACAAGATGAATGTGCGTCAGACCGCTGAGGCGAGGGCACACCGTCGCAGTGCAGCCAAGAGGGCCCGGGTGGAAGAGTCCTGCCGCACCAGCCGGGAAGGGAAAACCTACGGTGCTGGAGAGTTTTAGACAACTGATATTCCCTCTGGACATGTGTGTATGTGTTCAGCACAAGTTTCGTGCTACTGCGTTTTTCATTTTTGTAAATACAGACTTTCAAACTTTCAAACGCGTTTTTCTCATTTCGCAATTTTGGCCAATTTGCATTTTTTGCGGGAAGTGTTTCGGGCACTTAGAATGGTCATACGACGACGAAATTTGGCACACACATTGAGGAGAGTGCGTAGGGTGCCGATATCTACTTGAATCAGCACAACCTATCAGCTGTAAATATCTATTAATAAATTTAATGGTGGTCGAGTGGAAAAAAAAGGGTAGTTTGCTACACAGATGTTTTTTTCATAGTTTCAAAGTTGGAGCACAATTTCTAGCTAGATATCGGCACTCTATGGCTAATAGGGAGCAAAAGGAGCCATTGAACAACTCTCTGCATGAACATTTAGTATGCGCGAAAGTTCCCGGAAAACTTATCAAGTTTCACCATTACTTGAAACACAACTCCCAAACTATTGCACTTATGTAAAAACTGATTACAGATTTGGAATCAGGAGGAAAAACTGCATCAGTGGTCCAATTTCTGAAGCTCTAAGTTGAATAACAAAAAAAAAGTGCTTTCGAGGAGCGTCTCCCCTTAAAAAAGAGCACGAGGACCAATCCTAACTAATTGGACTACCTTTAAAGAAATGAGTAAAATGGGATATTAAATTTATTAATGGCCTTTAAGGAGGAGTTACTACGTCCTTTGAAAAAGAGTGCAATACTATTAAAGCTAATATGGTGGCCTAAGAGAATGATGGCCTTCAAAAATAAGTACAATGGGTATATGAAACATGAAACATGAAAACAAAACAAAAGAAAGGAGCACTACAACCTTCAAAAACAAAAGTTCATTAAAAACTAATTCAATGGCCTTTAGTAAAGGAGTATGATGGCCTTTTAGAAAAAAAGTAAGGCCCTGGGTAACCCACCTTTCATGCCTCCCGAGAAGCCGCGCCAGTTGGCAAAGACAAACAGGGGCAGCTCTTCCCGGTTGAAGTCGTTGATGGCCTGCGCGGTCTTGTATGCAGAGTCTGGGAACCACACCTGGCCCGCCTGAGACAGGACCTGCACAGGCACAAGGTATGCAAGTAAGCACATGCACAAGGCCCAATTAGGTCCCATCAGGTTCTTAAAAAATTCAAGCAAGACCTGGTGCTGCCTTGTCTCATCATCTGCGCTGGGCTTTTGCGCTTTTTTTATCGAGTAGAAAGGAAAGAAGCAAGGTTTTTCTGGTTGAATTTTGAATCAGTACAAAGTCCGTGTATTATATAGAACTAATAGCTCTGTCACTGCACTTCCCATTTCTCGCAGCTAAAGTTACAATACAAATTCAAAGCACAATGCCATCAAGATGTGGACAAAAGCAGATGATGAAAGAACGTACCTTGGCCTCCGAGTCAAGGTTGGCAGGGTCGGCAGGGATGTCAATCTCAACCGTCCTCGTCTCGACCGCGACAACACCAACTGGAATGCCACCGAGGCGAGCACGGCCGCAGACGACCGTCTGAGCCCACTGTTGCATCACCTCCATGAAGGAGCCGCGGTCAAAGAAGCCATCTTCCCAGAACCCAGGCAAATCTACGGTTGGGACAAAAAAAAAAGTGTAACTGAAAATTTAACTTGACCAAGGGGAACACTGCCAAGACAGAATTGTCCTGTTTTTCAAAGCTTCAGATCACGCACTTATGTTTACGCGGTGACACTCTAGTAGATGAAATAAGTGATCAGCATCAGCCAGTCTTACAAGCATAGCAGAAGAAGACCTCTACCAACAGTCTTCAACCGGCTTGCTTTACGCGAACCAGTTCTGCATCACACTAGCAAATTTCTTTATTTTGTAACACAAACTAAAACGGCAATATGTATCTTTAAAAAAAAAGGTTGGTGAGCTTACTCGGACTCTCACGTCCTGCCAGAAGCCACCTGGGGTCGTACGGAACTTTGGCCGGGGTGTACACGACGTCCCTGTCAATGGGGTCCAGTGGCTCCACGATTGGGAGCTTGGCCCCTTTACACTGCAAAGAGGTGGTCATAGAAATCGTTATGCACTAGTCTTGCATTGAGCAGTGTAGCAGTCGCAAATTTGCAGATGAAAACAATACGCAGCTAACGATAACGCATGTTGCAGCCACAACATATCAAGTGGCAAGATATATTGGTAAAATCTTGGTAGAACGAAGTCATACCAAACACGAAAATACCTTCTTTTTATTCTCGCTCCGTTGTAAGCACATATTTTTTCCATGCTGGTAGTGGCAAGAAACAGTAATGTTACTGAATCAGTATATCTTACACAAGAGACATCAAACATATATGCCTACATTGTCATACTTCTTCCATAACTTCCACAACACACTGCTTACCCTTGCGACCACAATGGCACATCACAAATTGGAACTTGTGAACGAACATGAAATGTTTCACAATTCCAAGTGACACATTTTCTCTCTGCCTCTTCTTCACTGAATTGATACTGTGGCTTTATAAGCCTCGAATAGTATGCGGAAAAAGTAAAAAGCTTAAGAGCTCCGTCACACCTTTGGCATGTATGACAGCCACTTGAGCATGACGTAGGTGCCCTCCAGGTCGTCGTGAACGGTGACGTGCGAGACGCCGTTGGGGTACATGATCTGCACACCTCCCAGCTGGTTGTTGGACGTGTACACCTCACGACCTAGAAGCTGAAGGAGTACACAGAAAAAAAAAACATTCGTCTTAGTCATTTCAATCAGATCAATTTTCTAGATTAAGTGTAGCTTCCCAATTCCTTTCCATGCCATCAACTTGGTGCATCAACTGTTACGATATGAACCAAGAGCAGCAGCAGAGGGGGAAGAATGGTTTTCCACTCCTAAATTTTTCCTTGCCTCCGCCCTCCGTCCCCTCTTCTGCCCCTTTCCTACAAAAAACCTCTGTGGCATCGCCCCTGATATTAACCAGCAATACCAAATGCTGGAAGTACATCCAGCAGGATTGCAATTTTTTTAATGTGAGTGAGCTTTAAAAAAAATTTGGGCTCCTAGAAGGGCTCTTACATGTGTTGATGTGAACCAGCCAGCCCAACAAGCAACCATCCTAGAAGGGCATTCATGCCGATGCGAGAAGCTCATTTGTTGCAAAGTTTCTCACTAAGAGCAAAGGTAAACGAAACGAACCTTGTTCAAGGCCCCAGCACCGGTGAGGATAATGTGAGAGTTCTCGAGCTGGATGACACGCTGTCCGAGACGGACTAGGTAGGCGCCTATACCGATGGCCCGGCAGGTCACCTGTACACATCGTGAAAAGAAATGAGAAAACCAAAATTAAATTCACGCTTTCCTTGTCGTCCTACGGATGCTTTTCTATTTTACTGATCCTAACACTGCTTTTCAATTTTGTCGGGACCAACACTTACCTCTTTTCTATTTACATTTTCAATGCATGCACAACTATTTATTACAGGGCACAACCCAGCTTGCATTGTGTGACCCAAGAAAAGTACATGCCTTGTATACAAGTCAACGAACACAAATCACAGAAACCAATAAGGCTAAGATTGCCACGCTGTTTAGATTAGATTAGATTTGTGGTGTTTAACGTCCCAAAACCACTATATGATTATGAGAGACGCCGTAGTGGAGAGCTCCGGAAATTTTGACCACCTGGGGTTCTTTAACGTGCACCCAAATCTGAGTACACGGGCCTACAACATTTCCACCTCCATCGGAATGCCACGCTGTTTATAAAGGCACTGTAAGCTTTAGAGATAACAAGGCTTGCCTGGAACATCAGAAAACTGGTTAAGCCATCATAAGATGAGCTTTTCTAACTGCAACACCATATCCAAATAAAATTAAATTGCAGTATTGACATCCTAAAGATCACAGGGAGGACTCAAAATTAAATTTTACGGGAGATGTTTCATTTTAAGTGCAGCCAAACAAGGGCATGCTATGAAACACGTTTCATTCTTCCACCCCATCAAAATGTCATCAGAGTGGGTGAGAATCAAACCCATGACCTAATGCATAACACCGGCATGCAACATACATTAATGTCGCGGACAGTATAAAAAAAGTCAGTACAAAAATATGAACTGACCAAGCTGATGGTGACGATCTCTTCGTAAGCCTGTGACGTTTCGCCGGCGATAAGCCCAGCGTACTTCAGGTTTTCAACGCCAAGCCCGTCCACCTTGCCTGTGAGCAGAATGAGAAACCTCGTTTAAATTTGAAGAAATATACTTTTTCACAAACCACCATGCGTCATAATAAAAAGTGAAAGAACTGACCAATGATGTTGGTTATCTTGTACCGCTTCTCGCCTTCGTCGTCAATGAGCTCCGCGTTGACCGAGTTCAGGGCGCTGACTTTCTTGAAATTCTCCGGTGTTAGGTAGAGATACCGGTAGCCCTAACAAGCAAAGTAAGAGTGAGATGAATATTTTTTGGATCTGTCGCAAGGACACTAATAACTAATAATAATAATGAATAAGGACAATTAGTATAATAATAAATAATAAGGACAATACATTATAATTAATATATAAAAATATAATACAAATTATAATATAAACAATAAGGACAATTAATAGCGACTGTAGTAGTTTTACATCTCAACACCTCAATATGAATATGAAGGAAGCCACAGTTAAGGGCTCTGGAAATTTACCACCTGGTGTTCTTTAATGAGCACCTAAACCTGAGAGACACTAAACAAAAAGAATGATTACTTTGGCATAAGTAAATTACTATTCCGCAGCATCAAAAGCACAGTCTTACCAACCCAAAAACTTTTGCTAAGCGAGAAAACTCGCAAGAAAGAATGCCGGCTTCCACACTGGCTTGACGTCACAGATTTGATAACCTCTACTTGGATCTCTGCAATCGTTTGTTGCTAAAAATGATTTACATTGTGTCTTATAGCACGTTCCCGAAAATTTTGCTCAAGCAATGAGGCAGTAATATGCAACAATAATAAATTTGCGACGTCAGACTGACGTTCTTGCACTGAACTTTTGGCGCGAAATTGAAACGCGAGATTGATTTCACTTTCTGATCTAATTATGCTACGATGGCCAAATAATGACAATACAGTCCTCAAAGAATATGTATAAACTGATTTAACATTTCACTTCAGTGTCCTTTGAACATCATGAAGAAAGCTTAATAAACAATGTACCTATAAAGAAGAAAGGAAAAAAAAGCTTTAGACGACGTTCTAACCTTGTCAGGCACATCGGGGTCAACCCATGCTATGTTGAACAGGTGCTTGAGCTCCTCTGCAAGTCCAATCCTGGCACCACTGTTGGCCGAAATGTAGAGTCGTGGAATGCCCAACGCCCGAGCCCTCTCGGATGCTTTCTGCATGTTTGGCCAGACACAGCACGTTGAGCAAGACACGGTGCCCTAACTGGTCACAATTGAGAACTCACGAAAAAGAGAAGGTCCTCCTGAGGTCCGAAAGTGCCGAGAAGGAATGTGATGTCAGTTGGCGATGACGATGATGTCACGGCCCTCCGGGTACTCGGGTGTCACGAGCGTCATGCGCCAGGCCACCATGCCAACCTGTTTCAATTGAAAAATGGGAAAGTGAGATTGGAGAAGCACTGACACAATTTTTTTTTGTCAAATGAAAAGTCAGGCTCTCAAGAGACCACGAATGTTCTGATAAGCGAGAGTGTGCCCTGAAAAATACATTTTTTAAAAAGCTAATTTAAAGCCTACTGTCATCAGTGCCCAGTACCCTAACCTGAGGATACATGGTACCCTCTACCCTTATACTGGACTCTGAAACCCTGACATTTTCTGCAGCACCCTGAAAATATAAGCTTCTTGCCATGTGCTCCTACAAGATATTGCAATGCTTCCATGGCATGAGATCACCAGGATTGATACTGTAGCCCCACGTCACACCGGTGTTCATGTCAATAAGTGCATGTCAACAATACCTACAATTGCTAGACGATCAGTTAGTCATCAGTATACGTAAATTATGCCACCTATATTAAATAACTATAGAGCTTTCACCATCAGCTCTGAATTTCAGTGCAACAGCGAAATCGCCGCAGGTAGCACCTGCCGTGATTCAGCCTGGTACTTATCCACTTTGGAAGGCAGTTGCAACATGCCCGCAATTGTCACTGAAGCTAAACCAATGCCGGGTTACATTGCGTCACGTACATCGTTTTCGCCGGGTAGTCGCTTCTGCTCAACGAGTCGTCCCTGAGAGTCCATCACCAGCTCGATGCAGCTCAGCAAGGATGCTGGAATGTCCTCTCCTGGCCGCATCTCGACGTGTTCCTCCCACAGCCTGATCAAGGCCTACAACAGGTAAAGGAGAGACGTGGGGCAAAAAAAAATTGAACACAATCACACTCTAGTTTGTCGGAACAGCATTCATGCACAACACAATGACATTGCTGCAAGTGGTTTGGGACTCAGCAGTACTGTGCATGAAGCTTAACTACTCGATAAAAATTATTCTGGGGTTTTACGTGGTATAACCACAACACAGTTTCGAGGTGCGCTATAATGAAGGCTGCAGATTAAGTTTGCCACCTGGAGTTTTTTAAGGCGACATTATACTCAATTTTCAAACATGCGCATGAAAAGTGGTTACGTTTCGTCACATCAAGCTGGCGATGCAACACCAGGTACAAATTGGGCTCTCTTGCAGTCAAAGTGGTTCCAACAAGACAACGCAATTGCAAGCTGTAAGAGTGCATGTGCAGTAATGCCAAGAACATACCACGCGATGCACTGTGCAGCCCCCCCCCCCCCCCCCCCTAAAAACAATCGCTATGGCCAAAACTCGAGCAAGCACACTTGTACTTAGCAGCACAACATCTCAAGCACCATGCTACCACTGCGAGCGAATATGCGTTTTAACTTCCCAGCCCAGGTTATCAGAGCTGTCAATGCAACCTGACCTGTCGGAACATGTCGGGAAAGTCGTAGACATATGTCGTGCCGTTCGACTGGGCCTGGAACCGCTTCTGCTGCAGGTAGTCCTTGGTGAGGTACGGCGTGGAGATGGGCAGTCCATGTAGCGGACCCTGCCGGTGCGGCCCCCACGCCTCAAACTGCATCAGGCCGGTCTCGGGGTCCAGCCTTTCCTTGTACAGGGCAATGTCCAGGTAGTAGCCGCTCTCGTTGGCCAGGAATAACCGGAATGGGCACGCACTTGCCGTTCAGGCTAGGCCTGCCGGGAAACCAGGTCAAGGAGGAGGGCATGACAGTGGTTTAGAGGGAACCAAGACACAAAAGTGAACCACTGCCAGTCAAAACAGCGACAGTAGAGTTCAAATCTAGACTGCCAGCTCAAACATACAGGTGCAAAAAGTAAAACAGGGACTACATTCTGTGCCACCTGCTTCCGAGAATGAAGTTTTTTACAGAACCAGGTACCCTCCTATTTCACATGCAACTATAACATTCCTCAAGCTAAAAGATTTCAAATCCGTAAACAAGAGTTGTCTGCTTGAGCCAAGGTTTCAGAAATTAACTTGTCTTCCTTAATGCTAGAACTGAGTTCAGCTCTAGCATTGAGGAAGACAAGTCCGCTTTTCGAAACGTCTGTTTGAACAACAATCCCTATTCATGAATTTTTTTTCATTGCAAGCTTCCATCTTCCCCTCCAGCAGTTTTTTTTCGACTTCCAAAGACAGATTTAAGTCGCTTGCAATTGCTTGCACAAAACAAGGGCTTGTTTCTAGTATACATGAAATCTCTTCAGTTACAAGAGTAGAAATATGAAAGAAATTCGATGTACAAGAGTGGCAGAGTGATGTTTAGTTAACACTGTTTCATAATTATAAAACAATGCTATCCCAGCTACATAACTGGCCTGCTAAAGAAAATGTACTGCAGTGAAATAGCCCTGTAATGAAATGGTGTCTATAGTTAAGGATTACTAAAGCCTGGGCTAAATTACAAGTTTTACAGTGCACAACCCTTACAAGGAAGTCACCTGTGTGAAAAAGTGTTTTGAAGGTTTCTGGCATTTCATCATCAAGGTGTTTGACTGCACATCATGCACTTGTTTTAGTTAAGTAACCTTTAACACGAGATCTTTTCCCAACTAGCCCCTCAAAATATTTAAATAGTTTAACCATAATATGTGGTGATAACAGAATATTATTGTCATGTTAGAAGAGTGTCACAAGTATACCCTTTTTAGAGTGTATGTTTTCTCAAATACAAGCTTGAGAAAGTGTCCGAATCAGAATTACTCCTCAAAGTTGAGCTTTGATCTACTAAACTAACGTTTGCACTCTTTGCAGCATACCTCGTCCCCAACCTACAAATATCGTCATCTGTCTTCCATGACTATTCGTTCTTTACGTAGCATTTTTTAAGTAGCAAGCTGCAAGCTAATCAAGAAAGAAAATGCAAGCAAGTCAGATGGCAATAATTGTGACAGTAAGACAACATGCTCTAAAAGTATATTTTTGTTGCACTCCAAAGGGTGCACTTTAGAAGTGTTTCTGTTGGACCTCAAGGGGTGTTAGAAACGGTTGCAGTCTTCCAGACTAAGGTGCAACTGTTTGTGCAACTGGAATCTGTCTTACAGTAATGCTCTTCTGTCCGCTGTTTGTACGAATCGTGAAGTAATCAAGAAATTATCATCATCACAACGACACAGCCACGTCAAGCCTTAGGCATAGCCTCGCCCAGTGAAGCGAAGTTAATCATAGGCAAGCCAAATGAAGCCAAGCTGACCATGATAATACCTAATTAGCCTAGCATAATTAATCATATCAAGTCCTGATTAGGTTTAATTAAATCGAGTTGAGATATTCGTGTATCAAGTCATGCTGGTCGTACTATTACAGTGCAAACACAGACACACCACAAAAAAAGAGAGGACAAGCGCTTTTCTTCATTTCTTCTCGTATGTAATACACTGCTTCATTTATCAACTCGGACTACAATTTTGTGTGTGTATTTTTGTCGATTGCATGGTGCATGTGCGGTATGGCTGCCTTGGAGGTACATATGCATCGACTTTTCCAGTAATAAAATCAGATTTTTATTACAAACCAAAGAAAAGATTACAAGATATCTGGACCGTTAGCCTACATTGGCTAGTGATCGGTCCATATCGGAGTACATAAAAGCAGCTTAGTAGAGCATATTTAGCAATAAACACATATATACACAATTATTTATACATATAACTATTCCCATATGCACATACATACTACATACATAAGCGCGTGTACATATGTGGTGCGTTGCGCGTGTGTTGTCTCTTTCTTTGTGGTGCGTCTGTGTTTGCACTGTAAAAGTACCTCTACGATCATGAACCAACTAGGCACGAAAATAGGTTTTACTGTAGTCATGCGGGGCTCGGCAAGATGAGCCAAGCTAATTCCAATTAAGACAGCATAGTAAAACTAGGCTATTAGCTAATTAAGAATAGGTTGAGTTAAGATGTGGGCTAATTGATATCAAACATCAAATGTGCAAATCAGGCCAATTAAGTTGATTAATCTACTTGGTGCTGTGATTCTCAAGCGATTCCCAATCGCACCTGATCAATACCTAGCCAAAACTAGTGATTTACAATATGATCCCAAGAACACTGTGCATAGACGTATGAATGCAGGCATGCCTAGCCATGCCTAGACCAGCCAAGTTCCTACCAGCTCTGCTCTGCCCCAGCCTTGTGAGACACAGTGCAAGCAACACACATTTTTTTATGTTGCAGCACTGTACTGCCAAGTATGGGACAGAATATAACGCTTGCAAAAGCATAGCCTAATCCTCAAGGAGCGGTGTTGCTTATTGGTGCTCTTTGCCCACACCTAGCCCTTGCACCAATAAACACCATCAATGCCATCAAATGGGGGTTTGTCCTCTTTCCAATCCACGTGCCACCACTTTCTTTGCACTTACACGCTGGGCCCAGGCACGTCCTCGGTGAAGACCATGCGGCAGGGCGTGGAGCTTGCGTCAATGCCTCTTTACGAGAGGCCAAGCATGCGGCCCCAAAACCATGCAGTGGCAGCAAGCATGCGCAGGGGGCTGGGCAGAGGTCAAGCAGGAGGGGGAGGGGAGCCATGGAAAGCAAAGGTCAAAGGCAACAAGACGCCGCTGTACAAATGTAAAAAAACTAAAGCCTAGCAACAAAGCACACCCAGCAACGACAAAGCGCCTATCTACAGCGTGACCCACATCACGACAATCAGTTTGTGAATTGGGATGTGAGACCCGAAATGGCGGGCTGCAAGTGTGCACACACACAAACCTCAAGCCAGCCTTGGGGTCCTGGCTTCACACCAACCCAAGACTAACAATGAAAAATTTCATAATTTATCCCTTCACTAGCTTCAATATGCTCGCTTTCCTTTCAATTAGATTCAGGTAAAGACAACCTGTCAGCTTGTCCTTCTGATGATTTTACCAGCTGATTTCAGGCAGATCTTCAAGTCACACTAGATGAAGTACGCCAATTCAGACTCAATTCGCCTGACTACTAGCTTACCACAGGAAAATCGTGCATATTACATTGAACGTTACACCGAAACAATTTGCATCCATCTTTTACACACAGGTGAATTTTCAGTAGCACAGGCATCTGTCGCCTTTCCCGGTTATTCCAAAACAAATGCATGCACAACAATACACAAGAGATCCCACAACTTTAGCTAGAGCAAACGAGTGCAGAAAAATAATTCCCAGCATGAACACTGTGCAGGTAGGTGAACAAAATTAAATTTCATGCAACATGTGCAACATGCATTTTCATCCTCGAGAGCTACGCTGGCACTATGAGTACAAACGAGTACACATGTATCCAGGCAAGCATTGGCACAAAGCAGTTAAGCACACACAAAAATAAACAAAGCAGGAATTTCGAAGCACTGAAACAAGATTAGTGCCACAGACAAATAGATATGGAATGTAAAAGCAAGTTTCGCGTCGATTAGCAGGTATCATGTTTTATCATTATGTACATTTGCATGAAATGTGCACTAGTAAATTACGTACATACAAATCTACGTAACATACACTTGTGTGTATTGTACATTTGTACTTAATCGTGGCGTACATTTATACATTAAATAAAGTTAAGCACACACAAAATTATGTACATTTATACATAAGGTAAAAATGCACGTAAAACCAACAGTTACGAAATAGCTCGGTCCAGCATCTTTGCCATGTGAAACAAAGGTTGCCCCACAAAACCAGGAACGAGCAAAAAATAAGTTACAATTATTATATTACAGAAAACGCAACCCTGTCACAGTTTTAACGAAGTAATGCATCATTACAATTACTGAGAACTAATACAGTTGAACCCCTTCATAAGAGGCATGCTCCGGGCAGGAATTTTCGTCTCTTATATGAGATGTCTCTTATAAGCATAGTACTATGTAGGCATTTTTCTATCTACTTGTATTTTGCTTTAGGCATACTGGTGTCTATTATACCCATTTGTCTCTTGTATCAGTCTCTCTTATAAAGGGGTTCAACTGTAATGCCGTGATCTTTTCACTGCGGTAAGACCAGTAACATAATATGTCACAAACGAAACCTCTACATTTTATTTAAATTTAGATTCACGAAAACATACGATTACCTTTCTGCAATAAATATATGCATCAATGTTATCCCAAGACTCAGTGTTCTTTGGTTATTCTATCATTGCCATAACATCATTATGCAAATGCATGTTAACGTAACATTACAGGAACATTTAACAAAGTAACATTGCCAGTGCTGTGCAAAAAGTAAGTGTTTTGGTTACATAAGTTACCCCAAATGAAAAATTTGCATGTAGCAGGTTAACGAAAAGTTAATGAAAAAAGTGACCGCTTAGCATTAATATGCAACCAGCAACTACTTATTTCCGAACACTGTATGAAATTGACAATTTAATGAAAAACTCGAATGCTTCACCCAAGATGCATTATGATGATATTTGTACAGATTCCCGAAGGTACTAGAAATAAACGTGATATCAATACAAATGCTGATCTCCGGAGTGTACGGAGCAGCATTCAATATTGTTCCCACTTACCGAATAGTCATTTTGATCTCGGCCTGAAGGACGCGGAGCTTCCAGAGCCGTGGACCATACCTCATCACCATGTCCCTGACGTTTTCGGCAATCTACAAGGTGAAAAGCAAGATTGAAAAATAAAATTTCTATAGTAACTTCAACACTTCCCGTCATGTTTTCTAACACTGTCACGTTAATGGGGCACATAATAGTGCAAACTTGGAAAAAAGACGGATTCTAGAAAAGGAGGAAGCAGAAAGGTCGGGCACTAAACTTCAACTGTTTATTCGAAAGATCAAGCCTCCGAATTACAACTCTGTGCATGCATGCATCAAAATCGGTAGCACTGGTCACACTCAAAAAGCTGCTGGTCATTTTGGTAAAGTGGAATAGACGTATCAATAATGCAACCTGTGCCTCTTTTCTTAATGTGAATAAACAGCTGAAGTTAAGCGCCCCGTCTTTTCTGCTCACTCCTAATAGTTTTCTAGAATCTGTTTTTCTAAGTTAGCACTATTATGTACCCCATTGACGTTAAACAACTTGCCCAACAACGAGTTCTACAGAAACTTTAGCCATGCTTCAAAGTTCCTTTCAACACCCGTGAACATTGGCATTCAGCCAGACTGTTCGGAAGTAGCCAAAGAAATCTTGTGCCACTTTATAAAAATTTGGACGTAGTTTTTTTTTTTTTCCTAAGAGAGAAAAGTTTTCTGTTTTGGTGATAGAGTCCCAAGTACGCCTAAACCTGTCAAATAAAACGAGTAACTTAAATGCATCTTATGTGCTCATCTGTAAATCTGCATAATACGTACCCTAGCTGGGTCCATCGTAACCTTGGGCACAAAGTTCAGAAAGATGTGGTTGCAGTCGGTCCTTTTGGCCTGCAATGATAAAACACGACAAGGCAGCTCAGTCATGAAATAAATTTGTTCATTATCAATGTACATTTACATATTATTACTCAGAAGAAAAAACTTTCCAGCATTTCACACAAACGGGCACCAAAACTGGAACGAATATTCAGAAAACAGTTCGTTCAATTGTCAGCTGTTACCAGTAGTAACCACCTTGGTTACTCTTTGAATTTATGCACTCATCTAACTTGCGAAACGGCAAAATATCAGCGGCTTTTGAAGAAAACAGCATGCTAGAATATTCTGTGTCTATTCAATTCCACATATGAAACAATGAAGATCTTTGGGTTGTGAGGGTGGCCGAGAGAGGGCGTTACGTGACGGCACCATCATCATCATTGGGACGAGGAGTTGTGGGGGTTGCGTGTGTGGGAAAAGGGGAGTTCGGGGTGGTTGTGGGGAGTGGCAAGACGAAGCGGTGTGGTGTGCGTGATTTAGGGTTAGCGCATGACAGGGTATTCCCACAACTTTAACCATTCACCTAAGAGCACTAAAGGCCAAACTGTGCACTTACCTGTAGAAAGCTTCCTTGTAATGCTTCCTACAATTCAATGCAAATCTTAATGCAAACAGACGTAATTATAAGAAATTGTGATCTGTGATTCTTATAATAAGGAATTCTTTATCGGATAAACTCGTGCCGAGGAAGGACACTCAAACTGCAAGCAGTAATCGCGGCACACTGGTAGTGGCGAGCACAAGTGTCAAACGTCAATACTACGATGGTCGTTGAGGCAAGTCTTTTATATGCGAGTGATAGGAAATGCCAGTGTTGTCGCTGGTGCTTGTGCTAGATCTAAACACACTCGACGGCTCCCACTCTGTGCGCAATCTTCTAGGAAATGTTTAAAACTATCGCGAAGCTTCTCCAGACATTTAGGATCAGCCTCCACCAAGCGATGGTAACAGTTTTGATTGAAGCCGATCACATGAAAATAAAAGAATAAGCATTTGTGCCAATATATTGTACACCCGAGCCTCGAAGTAACGAACCCAGATATAACGAAACATCGGTTATAACAAAGTAAATGAAGAAGTGTTTTGCATTAGCTATGTTAAGAATGTCCTTTTATGGCGAATTTTCGGATACAACAAACTTATTTTCGTGTAAGACGCAACTATGTCATAATGAGATTTGAGTGTAGTTAATGACGATTTCAAGCATACAGCAAGTACTACAAGAGCTGCGACTCTTTTCTTAAGAGAAGTTTAAAACAGACGAACACAGAAGGTGCAGTAAAAGCAGAGCATTTCAATGAAACATGCACTCACCACTGGGTGGGTGAAAGCCACCTCAAGCTCGTCCATGGCTTCAAGCAGCAGACGCTCGCCCTCATTTTGGAGATACTCGTACGAGGCCTCCTACACAGAAAAAAATATGACCACGTGCTTACTACACAAACTAGTGCTCAAATTTTACTACACTGAAAAGCCCCCAACTGGAAACCCCTGATTGACAAGCAAACAATGCAGAATTGAGAGTTCTGACGTATGCGCTGACGTATTTCTACATATGCACTGCAATATTTCTTAAGTATGTATCTTTTACAGATCAGTTATAGCACTCTGATAACCAATTAGAAACTTGGCCTTGGCAGCAGGGAGCCAAGCCACAGCACTGAAATTAAAAGTTCAGGAGTGAACGCTGATTTGATTGATTTGTGGGGTTTAACGTCCCAAAACCAGCATATGATTATGAGAGACGCCGTAGTGAAGGGCTCCGGAAAATTCAACCACCTGGGGTTCTTTAACGTGCACCCAAATTTGACTACGCGGGCCTACAACCTTTCCGCCTCCATCGAAAATGCAGCCGCCACAGCCGGGATTTGATTCCGCGACCTGCGGGTCAGCAGCCGAGTACCTTAGCCACTAGACCACCGTGGCGGGGCTCAGGAGTGAACGCTCTCTTTCTAAAATTTTGCTGGCAACATCATACCACCAAATGGTCTGAAATGAAAATCACGTGCCCACTTCTACAGAGGTGCACATGCCAGAGCATAAAAACTCTATCGCCGATAAAAATTAAACATGCTAGGTTAAGTAAGGTAGGTCCGCTGGTGTTGGGCTTGGTTAGCGATAGCTCACCTTGGTGATAAGATCAGAGTGTCTTATTATGGCACGAATGAAGAAACGGAAGTCCGAAACCTCCTGGCCCTTAGGCACCTGCAATAAAACAACATACAAATAAATGTTCAGTGAATTTTCCCGAGATGCACTGTCAGAGTGAGGATAACGTTTGATAGACTGAGGCATAGGCATATTACATGGTACACATGTATTACGACATTGTTAAGAGCGTGGATAGTTCACATTATCTAACATTTAGCCAACAGTAGAGAAACATTAAACTCTAGCGAGCCTTAGTCAGTGCTGATATGTAAACTAACTATGGTAGGCTTCCACAAACACTATGCACTTTCTTTACAGTATGCGTTGCTGTTTTACTGTATGTTCTGTCTGATTATGCTTGTATGTGCTGTTCACATCACATTTTTATCCCCTAAATTCTAACCTTTCTTTCACAGAAATCAGCACAGATTTCCTTGTGGCTTCATGCTGCAAACAGGTACTTGTCTATTTTTCCTTTCTCATCAAGGGTTTGAGCGCATTACAGTGGAGCAGACAGGCTCGTGATGGCAAGCTCGCCGTTCGATTTGGTTCCCGAGAAATGTGACGCACCTTGGCTTTGCCGAGGTAGAGGTGCATCTTGAGGTTGGAGGTGGGGATGGCCTCGAGGTCAGTAGTTGCGCAGCCGGTTGATCTCCAGCTGGAAAGCCAGTGCTGGCTCCAGGTGTCTGTAGATGCAGTCTTCGACGTACTGCAAAGCGAGATAAAAGAAAAAATTGCAGACGTGATCAACTTCAAGACGCCCAACGTCAAGTACCACAATAGTGACGATTCCCGACATGCGTTCAAGGGTCATGGCAAACAAGGGAGGGTTAGAGTTTGTGTTCAGGCGAAAGAAAAGAGCAGGAAAGAAGTTGTGGAGGACTTACGTCAGTCACGGTAACGGAATGTGTAGTACTGAGGGAACCGTCGTTTGTGGAGAATAAGGAAGGTGATCCGGCGAATCATCCTTTCCTTCATGATGGCACACTGAAAACGAAAATGAGCAAAACTCCAGTGCAACAATACGCAATTAGGCCATAAACATGGACTGACCAACTATAAAACACGATCCATAAACTTTGCCCAACGTACATTGCAGAGTATACGGCACGTATGTAAGTTGGTGCCATGTTAAGTGAAAACAAGGTCAACGGTCCAAAACTATTTAAACACAAGAGATCTGAGGGGAACAGGTGAGCAAGAAGTACTTGAAAGTTCACATTAAAGATTGTCTCACAGCCTGGGCTCGAATGACTAGATTTTGGCACGTTATAAGGCAATGAACAAGCTAACTTCTGTATTTTTTAAACATCAAAGCGGCAACACAGTCAGCTGTGTTTAACACTTCTTATTGTGTCATGTCTCACATTATCGTCACTAGCCTGGCTTATATTCACAGCAGGACGAAGGCCTCCACCTGATATCTTCAGTTAGGCCCATTTTTTTCATAAGTTGGCTACAATCACTGCTTACATGTTTTTAATTTCATCTCAATGCTCAGCTCTCTGCCATCCTATTTTACACTCCTATACCTTGAAACCCATTCTGTTGCTCTAATAAACTGCCAGTTATCTGCCCTACACATTATACCCGTGCCACACGGGCATAGAAAATGACATTTGGTGGCGAAGGCCTTCAGTTCCCGAATGACATTCGTTTCGCCGGCGCTGCTACACGTCCAAAGCGAATGACATTTGACTTGATGATGTCGATCACAGCACCTTCCAAGTGAGCATTGAGTGAATAGCAATAAAAAAAATTAAGAAGCATTTACAAGCTTCATACACATCAGATAATCATCAAATGAAGAAATAAGCGTATTACGCTGTCCTAAGTTTTAGTTTCTTGCTTTGTTTTACAACGTTGCAGCCGACCGTAGCAACCTAAGCCAACACTAGTCAGATCCACAGCGTAAATAGACACTAAAATTGACAAGCGTTTCATTATCAATACTCTATTTTCTTCGTATAACGTTCAAAGCATCTTTTTAAGACTTTAGTGCAAATAAAAGACGGGAAATTTCATTTTTAGCTCAATATGATTTGTTTTATATACTTTCAGGTAAATCGCACTTCGCGAGCTGTGTCGTCGAGAGTAGGCATTTCTCAGTCAACTGAGTTCTGGCGAAGGCAGTTGGCGGCGAATGGCATTCGAATGGCATTCGGATGAATGCCATTTTGTTCGCCCGTGTGGCACCGCGCGAATGGCAATAAATCTGAAGGCATTCGGGGGTAAATGCCATTTTTTCTGCCCGTGTGGCACGGGTATTACACGTCGTGCTTGACTTCAATTTAAGGTCAAGTAGAATATTGGCTACCAACATTCGGTCCTCAAGTCATATGACCACATTCTTGTCTTGTGACATTGCACCAGTCATTTTCTGTTCTTTTCTTTCTGTTCAAGCAGTCCTAAAACTATAAGTACAACAATGACACAATGCTCCGCTGCGGTCAGCTTATAAGTTGTATCCTTACACGCCCATTCACTATGCATGCAGTAAGCTAGTACCATTTTGTTACGCATGAGGAAACTCCAAAGGAAAGTACTGAACACCTGTAGATAAGTGATGAGACTCAAATAAAATCTCTGGTACATTTGCGAAACGTCAACACGCACCTTTTCCTGACAGAATGCGTAGTACTTCGCAGCATAATCTTCATCCTCATTGGGAATGTCATTGCGGATGGCGATGTTGAGGATGTGCATGGGCTCGACGACCTGCGAAGAAGCAGGCATTCAGCAAACTGTGACCACAAACAAGCCACTATAACCTGCAACATCACATATAGACTTCACGCAATGTGCAATCACAGGACAAGGCAGGCGAGTCATGCGCCGTTGCGTGACGTCACATAGCATAAACATGACATGACACGATGTCACATGATGACGCCATGCTTATAGATTGTACATAAGCTCACCACTGGGCTTTCACTGCCATCGCAGAATGACGGTGCGCTGTGCTCCCGTGTTCCAAAGTCGAATTCGTTCCGTGGCGCCACGTTTGGTGAAATGGCGAAGAATTCTATCAGGTTGTCGAAGTCACTGAAAATCGGACAACAAACCACTTGTGAGCCACTAATCAATATGTTAAATCTTGCACCATTATTGTTAACTATTTCAATCATGTTACCTATACGTTTTCCCCAAAAAGGTAAAGAACAAAGAAGAACGGTTGGCAATGACAGGTCTGCTTGATAAAGTACACCATGCTTTATGCACTGATGCTAGTTATCTTTCCGCCTGTTTGCATTTTCTTTTTGTTAATTACTATGCACTTCTAGATCTCACATAAAATGACAACTAACCTCCCCTATGCTATCCATGGCTACACCACCTGCTACTTTGCATGGTTGCAGCTGTGAAACAAATGTGTTGTTTCTCTCACACTCTTGAATTTTAGACTACATAAGAAATGAACCTTCGTAAAAGTCAGCCTTTACACACAACCACATAAGAGTCAGGAGCACAAACGTCACAAGCATTACAACTGCAAACGTCCCGAGCCTATGCACAGGAGCACATGTATGCACCTATCTTTGGCGATTGATAATTATCAGAGTTCACAGAAAGTAAACACAAAAAACAGCTAATAAATGTTCAACGCTTATTCCAACAGGTTGCCTGTCATGAGAACAGTCGGCTGTTGTGTCACCCGTCGCAATGTCACGCGACATTTTTCTTTCAACTCGCACATTTCTTCCATATCCAACGCAAAAACTAGAAGACTAGCGGATGGATGGATGGGTGGATGTTAAGAGCACCCACTCTCAATCAAGGTGGCAGTTTATGTCACCAAGTGTTTGTTACCTGTGCTCAATAGTTTCTCATCACCCATCTGCTAGCCTACTCCTGATGGCCTTTGATGCATGTTCATTCGTGTTCCAAAGACCAGCTTTGAAGCCTAATATAGTCAAAGCTTGATATAACGAATTTGGATAAAACAAAATATCGGTTATAACAAAGTAAATGAAGAGTAGTCTTACAGTAGCTAGAGTACTAAGAATATACCTTTATAATAAATTTTCAGATATAACAAACTTATTTTCATGGAAGATGCAGGGAACAAGGCAGCTGGCCATGACGCCATATCATCAAGGATTTTAAAGGAGAATATTGATGTTTTGTGTGGTTCCTTATGCCATATATTTAATCATGCATTTTCCTCTAAAACTTATCCTAGTATACTGAAGACCGCCAAAGTAATACCAGTGTACAAATCTGGTGATCGGAATCTTCCGGACAGCTACAGACCAATATCTGTCCTGAGTAGTATTAACACTACGCTTGAAAAACTAATTTCGTCGCAATTAAGGCGCTTCCTGGGTGAACAGAATGTACTTTGTCCCCAGCAACACGGCTTTGTTGCAAACAGGTCCACTTCAACTGCTGTTTCGATGCTTACGCAATATATTAATTCCGCGCTACATGAAAACAACATAGCAATAGCAGTATTTTTAGACATACAAAAGGCATTTGATGCTATTAGTCATTCCAATTTACCGAAAAAAATACATTCCTATGGGATAAAAGGTAACTCGCTTGATTTTTTTTCTAGTTATTTATCGGCACGCAAACAAAAGGTAGTCATTGGTGACATCAAGTCATCTTACGGTTATATTAAATGCGGGGTGCCACAGGGTTCAGTTTTGGGCCCTATATTGTTCTCTCTTTATATTAATGATGTCCCGCGATCCCTACAGAGGTCAAGGGCACTGATGTACGCGGACGACACTGTTTTAGTTTTCACAGGGCACTCCTTAGCAGATTTACAAAATGACGCGATGACCGATTTATCGAACATTTCGGAATGGTTTGCCAGGAATCAGCTGACTGTTAACTGTACTAAAACAAAGTAAGTGGTGTTTCACTCTCGTAGGATATATATTGACGCTGAATCTCTTAACCTAACAATAAACAACGCTCCTATTCAACAAGTTCCTTGTTTTAAATATTTAGGCGTCACTTTTGATGAACATTTACACTGGCATGAGCAAGTACAGAGTGTGTGCGCAAAGGTAGCCTATGGCTGCTATTCTCTAATAAAAGCTCGCCAATATTTTCCACAAGCTATACTTCGCACACTCTACTTTTCATTGTGTCATTGTCACATAGGTTACTGTCTGGAATCGTGGGGTGTGACGTACAACAGTTATCTAAAAACTCTTGAACGACTTCAAAAGCGTACACTGAAAATCATAAGCCAAGGTGAATCAGTAAGTAATATTTTCCAATCACAACGCATTCTCTCGGTTTCGATGTTGCGTGACTACAATATTGCCGTTTTAGTAAATAACATAATTAATAGAATTTCACCTTTGCCTGCTGATCTTTTTTCAATTCCTAAACGCAATACGCGACATGCTTCGAATGGTAATTTCAATCTGCCCAAATGTTTTAATGTTTACGGAGAAAGACTGATACAGTTTAATGGAACAAAAATATGGAACACGGTCCCCCTAGAGATTAAAACGGCACGTAATTTCAGCATGGCATGTAAATCATTTTTTCTGTGGAGTCAAGACATGTAAGCATGTGTGTGTTTGATTCGATTTTCATTGTATTTTTTTAATAAGTGCCTATCTATAGAAACTAGCTGCAAGCTAATAAGTATGCATATCTGCAGGAAAAAATGTATTACTGTGTTATCTGTATTATATGATTGTTTTCTTTTCTTTCTTTTTTTATGTTACCTCAGAGCTGACCTGTACACTTTTTTATGTTGCACATTGTATTGGACCGTCCACTAGCCACTTTAGGCTATCGGTCCAAATAATCCCTGTAATTGCATATATCTATTCATGAAAATAAAGTTTCATTGATTGATTGATTGATTGATTGAACTTCCTTATTTTGAAGTTTTAGAGCATTTAGAACAGACCCCTTCCTCGTTTATTTAACAGATACCTTGACATACAACTAGAATATGCCCCATAGTTCCTGGAACTTCCCACACATTAAGCACAAAGCACCTTCGTTAAAGTGTCTGGCTATAGCATTATCTGATTGTACTAAGTCGCACTAAATCGTACTACATGCAGACCTCGATATAACAAATCTGAATATAGCGAAATATCAGTTAAAAAAGTAATGAAAAATAGTCTTGCAATACATATAGAGTTACAAATAAACCTTCATAACGAATTTTAAAATTAACAAACTTATTTTCGTGTACCTTGCAAATTGATTATATTGAGGTACGAATGTATTTAGGATAGACCTACTCTTTCCTCAATTATTGGACAGATACCTCGACATTAAACTAGAATATGCTCAACGGTTCCTAGTGCTTACTACTCTCAAACTTCGTTATAAGGAACATGAATATAACAAATTATCGGTTATAAGGAAGTAGAGAAAGTATAGTCTTGTCACAGATACAGTGTTACTGTTAAACATTTATAACACATTTTCAGATATAACGCACTTATTCTTCTGGAACATGTGTCTTTTTTATGAGGTTTGAGTGTACATATTGAGCACAAACTTTTCAGAAAGTTTCTGCCTATAGCTTCGCATTCTGATTATGCTAAGTTGCCCAAAACTGAAGCTCCCTCACTTGGCGAACTGCTCAAAGGTGTTGAAGGCAGCCATGATGCCCACACGCTGCGAGTCTAGATCAGGCTGCTCGTGCTCCCAAGCAGCCACGGTGTCTTCGGGAGTGCCTGGCGTTTCCGGCGAGTCCCCGTCAACAACGGCAGGGGCCTGGTTCTGCCTGCATTGATTAGCGAAGTGCCTGTAAGCAGTTATCAAAAATTTTTTAATGCGAAGCACTCTGTGCGAGGCAAACTGGGGTGTTGGAAGTGGTTCGTGGGTCAGCATGACAAGACTTCTCTGCTAAAATTCGTAAGGACGGCTCTTTAGCATTGCCTAAAAACTATTAAAAACTATTAAAAATGCCTAAAAACTTCTAAATCGATATATAGTTGAAATGAAATGCTAAGTCAAACATTCTTTCACTTAAAAAAAAAGTATTACTACAGTTTATGCAAAGCTTATTGGTTTTACACGTTTAGAAACCGTGCTAGCTGACGTTGGCTAAACGGTGAATAATGTTGGCAGCTGTTGCCTGTTAGCTATCTGTTCTCATAAAAATGTAATAAAATAATACACATGTAACATTGTGCCTCTGCATCACTTCACTCAATGTTTCACACACTACAACAGTTCTCCTTAAAAGTTTTCACAGCATGATTCCCGAGGTGGAAGTACATTAATTCCTTGAAGTGTAAATTTACAAATTCTGCTAAGTGTAACTGCACTCATTCCCCAATATTTAGGTCCTCCGATTCTTTAAGGTGTGTAAGTGCATCAAGTCAGTAATGTGCAAGTCCATCAAAATCAACGTGCGTATCTCCATCAATTCCCTAACGTGTAACACAGATGAGGTGTAACTACATTAATATCAAGGCAATCACTAGGCTTGAGCGAATATTCGAATGCTCTGAACATTCAAGCGAATATTACAGTATTGGAATTACCTTCGATTTCCATTTAAATTTTGAAAATTTCGAAGTATTCAAAATGAACGAATAAATGTATACAAGCCTACATGTAACCTTCTGCAAAGGTGGTTTCAATGCCGTGAAGGGATTCAAGTCGTGAAAACACTTATCCAGAGAAAATCCGCACTGCCGTGAAGCCCCACTTCAATGTAAAACGAACATAATACCCTCACATAAATGCTTCCCTCTTTTTCAAGATTAAAAGTTTGTTATACCGGCTTATATGCTCTAAGATTAGTAAATTTTTCAAATCTAATTTATTTTACAGGTTAACACTTGCATTCTACCGAAAGTGAAGTCCCGCTACTATTCAAAGTTACGTCTACTTTCTTTTGCACATATGTAGATGCTTTGTTTAAATTTAAAAATATATATATATTTTGTACAGGCTAGTCAGGTCATGACAAATATGCTCATTTTTCTTTATGATATGCACTATATGCTATTCAAATTCAATTCAAAATTATTTCAACTAAGTCACTTCGAACCTAAAGTCCACCATTCCCACAAGCCTAGAAATCACACTTTACTCTTCAACCTCTCGGACCTCTAGCTATGCTCGCTCTGGTAATTTGCAACATTATTGCCGAGAATTCACAGTGCATTTCTCAATGATGTGTACCGATATCAACCACAAAGATTTTGGATTTCATTTGCTATTAATTTGAATCATTACCAACTAGTCCAATCCATTCTCCTAGGTTAATTTGTTATAGCAAATACTATATTTACTCGCATAATCTTCGCACTTTTTGTTGGCGGAAAACCGATGCAAAGTTGGGGGATGCGAGAATTACGCAGGGAAAACTTTCCACGAAAACTTGCAGAGCGAAAAAGAAAACAAAGTGGTCGCAAATTGGGATTCTCACACCAGCAACTAACAGCAAGCTTAGAGAAGTACTAATTATAACTTACTTCAACAATGAAAGCACAGGTGCAACACAAGGGAAGATTTATTTGAAACACAAAAAGTGCAAGCAAATAGTCGAGAATCGGAACACTATACGCAAGGCTTGTGGGCGTAGCGGTAGCGTTCGTCACTCAACAGGACCCCTCAAAAGGTAAGCGTAGGACGTCAGTATTGGGCTGATGGCTATTTAGCAGAATCGTCGGCAGTTTCCTTCTGAAGAAATAAAGTTTACCATCAATCCCAGTCTTAGACACACGGCAGGCCCAATGCATCTTGGTGGCTTTCAGCCGCCGTACGAGTAGCGAACATAAAACTCGTCGACCCTAAAGGGCCTATCGGCGGCCCTGTTGCCGTTGTTTAGTGCATGATCAATCACTTTTAACTTGAAATCAGTCGTGTAGCTTCAGTATTGCCCCATAATGTGACAAGATTACCGACACAGCGTACAAAACACGCCGCAACGCGCACTTGCCACTTTGGCTTGACTTGAATTGGATTGAATCTCCGTGCAATAATAGTACGCTTGACACTTAAGAGATGGCGCCAGATGGTGTGCGCTATCATTATCAATGGCTGGAACGAGCAGACGACATTATTGCGGCAATTTTCGTGAGTGCGATAATTACTCGAGGAAAAAAAAAAGAAATCATATTTTTGTTGGGCGACGTGGGGGGTGCGAGAATTATGCGAGTGCGAGGATTACGCAAGTAAATACAATAGTCCTTTATATAACTATGTTCGCTTCATCAAGGCCTGACCAGTGTAATTTCATAAAAAAATGCTTATGGTTCAAAATAAGTTTAAAATTCTCGCAGCAAACTTTCCCCGATGGACAGGAAAAGACCTGAGAACAGCACTAGAACACAATTTCAATGTGTGGCAACAAGGATGAAATTCAGTTTCTTTTAAGTAAACTCCTGTTACGCTGAAATGTTACGCTGATGTGAAACTCCTGTTAGGTTGAAAATGTGCTCCTGTCATTTCATGCCGAAGCGTCCTTTTGAAATGAACTCGCTCCTGTCGAAGCGTCCTTTTGAAATGAAATTGCTATGCTAAAGTGAATTCCTATTACATGAAGTGTCATATTGAAGAGAACTCCTGCCACACGAGATGGTGCTACATAGACGTAAATTCCTGTTACGTTGAAGTGAATATCCATCATGTACCAAAACGAACTTGCAACATGTAGAGCACGACCAAACTGCTCACCTGTTAGGATGCGAGCTGGGCAGTAGGAACTGGAATTGTGCCGCGCATATGCCGGACGGCAGCTGCAGGTGCTGAAGGCAAGTCAGGTCATAGGAGACATATGCTCGCCTCACGTACACCTGCACGATACACACCCACATTACAACAAACTTGCTTTATCAACATGTCGCCTTATAAAGTGGAACGAAGGACACACTCAAACATCATTCTAACAAAGTGCCATCTTACACAAAAATAAGTTCGTTATATTCAAACATTCGTTATAGAAGTATTCCTAACACTTTTCGAAAACCATTTTTTATTTATTTTGTTATCAATATTTCCTTATAATTGGGTTCGTTATATCGAGGTTTAGGTTATATTATTTTGCATGTAACTTCCTGTAAAGGTGGTGTATCTGTTGTGCTTAGCTGTGAAACACCTTTTCAAAAAAATTTGCACTGCCGCGTAGCCCAACTTCAAGATTAGATGAGCACACTGCCCTCGCATCGATCATTATTTTTAACTTGCAAAGCTTGTTATACCGGCCCGTGTGCACTAAGTATAGTAAATTTCAAAATGTAACATATTTTACAGGTTTTCACTTGTACACCATAGAAAGTCAAATTCTGCCGCTATTTTGTTTCCACTTCTCTTGAAGCAATGAGAGAGTCATTTGCACAGGGGTTGTTTTAATTGCTTTTTTAATATTCTGCAGGTTAGTTGAGTCACGACAAATATGCCCGTATTCTTCACAGTATGTGACACATGCTATTTGAATTCAAGTCAAAATTATTTGACCAAAATCATCATTCGCTTCGAGTTTGCTTTGAACCTATGATTCACTATTCGCACAAGCCTAGTATCTACCTGACACACTAAGGTTTTCTTTTTATTGCGTAATGCGAGATCTTTCCGAGTGATTTGACGCCACCCTGTCGTCTGCTCTTGCACTCTGTCTTTCCACTTCCAGACCTCCTTCGGTATTACTACCTTCTCCGAACTAATCAAATTGCAAATTCGCCGACGCACCTCAAGAGCCGCCCTCTGGACAACGACATTGCCATGGTAGAAGAAGTCGGGCAGAACGTCAAAGATAGACGTCTCGGAGAGGATCAACTTTTGCAGGTTCTCGGGGCAGAAGTCGTGGCCGTACATGTCGATGGCCGACAGGAAGATGGACTCCATCTGGTTGTGCCGCAGCTCCCATGCCGGCTGGTGGGTCGCTATCAGCACCTGTGCGCAATCAAGATGATCAAATCATTCTGTCAGCAGTCCATTGCTAAAAAGGCTTCACTTAAGTGCCCCTTTCAACACAATCAAAAGCAAATGCGAGTTTTACTGAATCCATACTCAGCACAGTTAAATAAACAAAGCTTCTACAAGGTGCCAAATTTGGGCTATTTGGTTACTGTATTTAAAAATTCGAAATACAAGGTTGGGGGCTCGACTTAGAATTGAAAACTACTTTCAGTTGTAAAGTCGTTCTAAAAATGATCTCCGCTTATTTCTGCAAAGCTAGCTTTCCTGCATAGCTTTCAAGCACTGCAGTGACGCCATTTTGGCACGCTCAAATTTGACTTTTTTTTTATTTTAAACATCGTATTGTTTTTTCAACTAAATGTGCTCGTACATTATTTGTGCCGTGCTATTTTAGTGGGGCCGATCCAGGTCGACCTACATTCTAGTCGACTTACAATCGTGTAAACATGGTGAGTGAGCTTTCGCCAGTCTCACCTGCCGAGCCCGGAGGGCCACCTTGGCGTTGTCAGTCTTGCTCAGAGTGGTCAGCTCATTAAGGATGGATGACAACTCGTCAGTCAGGCCGGGCTCGTGGCCACACAGGTGGTCCTGAGCATCATAAGGACAAGTCATACAGGGTCAATAGATACAGTAAATTCTCGGTAGAACGAACACCACTTTAACAAACTTTTCAGATTAACAAACCTTTAAAAAATCCCGCGCCGACTGCTAATAGTTACAATGTAAACTTATTTAACTACTACATACTTCCGAGTACCGTACTTCTCAGAATAACGAGCGCTAATTTAGTTCCATGTTATATTAACAACGCCTCAGTACTACGAACTCATGTTCTGAAATCCGTCGTAACCACCGGCGCGGTACGCAAGCAGATGACACAGCCAATGAATGCCTTGCTTCTCGGGAGACGTGCGACGGTGTGGAGAAAGAAAAAAAACTAAAGCACGACTTTTTTTTTATTTATTGAAACGCCGACGCTGCAGGTTTACAAGCGCAGAGGCGAGGGCAACACGGGAAGGCATGGTCAGCAAAGCAGAGGGCAGAGTGGGAGTTGCGGAACAGGAAGCATGAGCGCGGAAAACCAGAGACAGTGAGGGAGCAGAAAATAAAACGTGAAGAATTTTCTTATTTAGCTCTTTCTTTTCTTCAGAAGAGGCGATGACAGCCACGCCGCTTCGGGTTTTTCTCATCTTTGTCTTTTCAACATGTGATCTAGAAGGAGGCCAAAGAGGTGTAGGTGTTTTCTGAGGAGGCCTTGTCAATCATGTTCACCTTTTCAGTGATTACTTATAGCGTCCACAAAGCAAGTTGGCGTTCGCGCTGCTGTGCTACTACAATGACTTCATCTCTGCTTGCGACAAAGGAGCGGAAGAAGTTTTCACTTAGGAGAATGTAGATGAGCTGGAGGCCTTCGCGCTGCAAAGTTTGTGCTGCATGTGTCAAAAAAAAAAAAAAAACGCAGACTTCTTAAGGGAAACGTGCATTTTTTGGTGTTCACTTGCGCATGTGTTTTTTATCGTGAAAAAAAAAAAAAAAGAGTTCAAGGAATCACCATTGTAAAGGTAAGTCGTTTTGGTCAGTAGAAAATAAGTATTTATGGTCAATTTTCGGGCTTTCACTGTACAGACCTTTCAAAATAACGAACGAATTGCCGCAATCCCCTGAAGTTTGTTATACCGAGATTTTACTGAACACGAAAGAAAAGAAACAGCAGCAACATAAGACTAACAGAATTTCACACACTTGGGTTTGCCACATGAGTTTGCCACTATGGTCGTAGATTTGGCTTGAAGAAGCCCAAGGTACCTTTGGCTAGTAGAAATCGAGCGCTCAGTATGTTCGACTGGTTCTTTTAAATCCCCACGCCCCAACCCTGAACGCTGTGAGGCGTGCCCTCACCTCCAATCAAAATGGAAATATATAGATGATGCGATTGACCATGTGGCAGCTTTGTCTCCACTTCCAGCCAGAGAATGGTAACAAAAGTACAGTAGGGCTAACGATGCAGCAACGTTTTACTAACAACCTTTGAAGTGATGCCAGCATTTAACAAGCAACAGACTCTTCGTCAACTCACGATGAGCTTGATGATGAGTAGGTTTTTCTTGGCCACCTGCAGATGTGAGAAGATCTTGTCCACCACGACAGACATGTTGTCCTTGTGCTTCTCACGGAGGAGTGCCACACACTTGTCGTAGTGGCCTGCAAAGTCCAAAAACATGTCGCATGCTTAGGGCCTATAACTGGACTGACCACCTGGCTCTTAAGTGTATTACGCAAAAGCCCCATGATGTGAATCTTTGCACAATTAATTAAAATCGAACCTCGATATAACGAACCCACATATAATGATATATTGGTTCTAATGAGGTAATTTAAGAATAGTTTTCCAATATATACAGTAAGGAATATACTTTTACAACGAATTTTCGCATGTAACGAACTTATTTTCATGTAAGATGCAACTTCGTTTTAATTAGATTTGAGTGTGGCAATATTCCTCCTCAAACAATGTATGCTGTAAAGCCATGCAAATTGTGTCATCGTACCTACAATAGTTAGTTTCAGGGCTACGTATGTTGCATCTGTAACAGTTGCACATGTAAGAACATGCTCCACATAAAATGCAGCACTTGTGCTCATGTGCACGATACGAAATGCGACCTCCTCACGTACACAATGGTGTTGCTAACAAAATGTACACAAGACTAAAAATATCTATTAGCTTCCAAGTGCCCGACAGACATTCATGCATTAGCATGCCTACACATCCAACAGACATGTCCATACAGCCATGAATACACAATGTCACAGTTAGCTAGCTAGCTAGCTTCGACTACTTCACTACAGAGCCACGCAAGTGCAACATCATGGTTTCTCACAGTGGCTTTGCAGCACGTACAAGATATTCATAAACACAGCACCTACACCTCCAGCCGTAACGTGACTAGCCATGCCAGTACAATAGTGCCACATTGGCAAAATGACTCCACAGTACCTACCAGACACTCGTACTGTTAGAATCTACATCTGCCACAACAAACACCCCTGCACAGCTATGTACTTTCAATTAGGATATGGCTGCCAAATAATGTTGCAGCGTTTTATGCTAAACTTGTTATTACACTTGAACTTCCATTACACAGCACCTACCTTGCTGGAAATCAATCTCCACTGAGAGGTACTGCTTGAGCAACTCTTGTACCACATTCTTCATGCGGCCACGAATACCATTCCGGTATCGCTGGACAAGCTGCACAATGCCCTGGGTGGTCATGAAAAAGACATCCCGGTCCGCCCGCTTCTGCAATGTCGCCGCGTAGCTGTCGATGACACCGGCAATCTGTGTTATAGAACGGGAGTAGAGTTTGATACTTTACGATGTCTGGCAATGATCGTGCCTGATGAGCAGAGAGAGACTGTCACGTATGAATGTACAGACTTCATGACAGCCATAATTTTAAAAGCTACAGTCCTGCAACTTTCGTTCACGACGTAATAGGTAGTAGCGTTAACCAGATCTGTGGCTACCATACTGTCCCAAAGGTGGCCAGCCATTATTACCACAGCTGTAAGTGCAGAGAAATCACTTTGCTTCAAGCATTCTTGCAGTCCACTAAACCTAATAGCAAAGCATGCCGACTATTCACAGTGAAAATAGCAGCGTGAAAATTAGGGCACAGACAGTGCTTTCTTGTAAACATGTCCCAATTCCTCTGCCCTATTTTTTGTTCAATTGTGAACCACTTAAATTAGCTCATTCGAAAGTGGCTTAAACTGCACACCCAGCCTAACCTAAGGAATAAAAGTGAAAATAATCATACAACAGATGAAAGAAACATGGCAGCACCATGCCTTGAAAGCAAGCATCGAACTGTAAGTCTCAACTTCACAAAACACAAACAAATGCACCTTATCAGCCTTTTATGTGTTTACCTTCTTTTAGATTGCATGCCAGGCACTCTTTTTTTTCATAACGAATCTGCAACCAATTGAGCAGCTCACTGGCAATTAATTCAATCACAAACAGGCACGTGAAAAAAGTTAGGGGCAAGTTCTTTACCTGTTGGCTCGGAAACTGGGCGAGGACCGAGGTGATATTCTTGTCGTACATCTTCATCAGCGTTCGGATGTTGTTCTCAACGGACGGCTGGATACGCCCGGAGATTGAGGAGATGATGTCCTGAAAAACATATGTAAAAGATCAAAATATATTTCAAAAGTGTCCACATCTGGCCATATTGCCTTCACTCTTGTGCACTCTGCAATATGCACCAAGAGCATCCCCAGCTGGCTCATCCAATGAATGTTTCTTCCAGCGAACTATCAAGCTTTTCATTGCACCATGTAGCACAAACAAAAACTGTGTCTACCTTTGATGTAACCTTGCACTGCCAAAATGAGCTTTGCAAGCCAATTAAGCCAAGCTACCCTAAGATCAATCTAATTCAGACCATGCAAATAAACCCGAGCCAATTAAAACATCATACTTGTTTCATTAATTAAGATCATATAAATTGATACCATGCTCATTAGAACATTTATATTTTAATTAAGACTGTTTGTAAAGGGCATGCTAACATCTAAGAAACATCAGTCACAATCCAGCCTAGCACCACTAGTTCAAGCTGCTCACATTTGTTCTTAATAAACTTTTAACACTCCGGGCCCACCCACATTTCGTTAATGAGATGTAGCAGAGGATATCATATTCACCTGAACAAAGCATCCCTGTCTTCACATACTTCTAAGTTCTCACATGACAGGGTATTCCGAGAATATGTAGACTCATGTCCCATACCACACGTCCTGTACCACGTAGCCACATGGCCCATACCTTGCCACTTACATTGACTGCCACAATTCTAAAAATTCTTTTGGATTAGGCTATACACCTTATTAGTCAAAATAGAGTCATCCTACGCAATCCAGTTCTACTTTGATATCCACTGCAAATTCTTCACGTAGGAAGCCCTTGTAAATATAGGTTGTCTTTGCTTAGGCTACAGCGTCTTCTTCCTTTTAAGCAATGTTGTCAATGAAAAGGCTACAGTCGAATGCAGCAGTACCCTTTGCTCAAGCACATCTGCGGCAATGTACCTAGGATGTACAGTGTCAATTTTTATGAAAGGGAACACGGGAACGGGTGGCCTACGCACTTCAGCGGCTGCTGGTGGCGCGTTCAAGCGGAAACGAGAGCAACCACAGTCTCTTTTCGCGTCATCTCGCAGCGGGCAAAACATTTTGTTGCTGATATGGAACCAGCAGCAAGATTGCAACCCCTCCCCCTTAAAGGGCCACTCACCAGGCCCCATAACGAATTTTAGTTAGACAGCGGAAGCTGTTGGGTGTCCAATGAGGAACGTTTTGCCACAAAAATTTTTTTCGAATCGGTTCATTACGAGCGAAGAAAGCAGTGCGAAACGAGAAAGAGAGGAGACGATCTCGAAACCCTTTCCCCTCTTCCGCGTAGCCTTCGCAAGCCAAATCTCTTCCCCACCTTCTCCAGCATCCGACCATGAGCACGCCAGCTGCGTTGCTTTGTTGACCAGCGTTATTTTGTGGTCTTGTGCATGTTTCTGCGGGATGGTTTGGAAAGGCTGGCTTAGACTCGGTATAGTAGAATAACACAATGAGTGTGCGAACGCGTAGGAGCGTTCCATGGCGATCGTCTGCTGAATGCGCTGACCGCAGGGACACGAACGCATGCGAAACGCTGGCACATTAGCCCCGCCTCTCGTAGCATTTCACGGGAAAAAATGAAAGAAAAACGCGCACAATTTTTCATTCTGTCTCATTATTTATTTCAAGTTTTATTTATCTCTTAAAACAATACATACATAAACTACGCATGTTGTGTTAAATAATTTTTGCCATGTCACGTGGTATACTATTGACAACGTCAGAGCAGACTTGTCTACGTAAAGGACCAATGTCACTGCATTGCCGTGTACGTAGGGCCATTCCTACACCTACGTTATGCCCTCATTCTCTACGCGTGCACCGGCAGACGGGAGGGGTAGCTGCTTTCATCTTGAAATTTGACCCATTTGTGCGGCGCAAAGCATTGCAAAGTTTGGCAGACATGATCATGAACACATCGTCTACGCATTGCGCTTGTCAGCTGAAAATTGCCAAACCTGGTGAGTGGCCCTTTAAGGCGATTATGCAAGAAAGGGGGAGGGGTTGCAATCTTGCCGTTCTATATCAGCAACGAATGGTTGTTTTGCTCGCCGTGAAATAACGCGAAAAGACACTGTGGTTGCTCTCACTCCCACTTGAACGCGCTGCCAGCAGCCGCCGGAGCGCACAGGCCACGCGTCGCAGTGTTTTCTTTCATCAAAATTGACACTGTACATGCAGGGAAGGTAATTTGTAAGAGCCCGCTAAGTGGACCGCCCTTTTAGTGTGTATTGGACGATTGGCTAGTCTTCGAGAGCCGCAAAGAGGTGCTAATCATCACTGCTAGCCCTCGAGCTCTATCCTATTGGCATACGCTGAAGTGGTCAGTTTACTTATGGTACTATTACAGGAAAGCTGCTAACATTCCCTCAAGAGGGTGAACAAGAACAAACCTGACAACCCTTCCACTCACAATAGCTCGAAATAGTGCTGCTGTCCTAACAAAGCTGCAACATTGTTCGAGTCAATCTCGCGCATCCCGACAAGACATCAACTTACTTTGAGCTCCATGAGGGGCAGCGTCGGATCTCGTAGCGTCCGCATGAAGGTGTCCAGGGAGGCGGTCATGTGCTGCGCGAAGTGTGGGTCCGGCAGCACGTAGCCGTCCAGCACGTTCTCCAAGTCCTGCTTGGCTGCCAGAAATTGCTGGTTCAGTTTTTCCTCGTGGAGCCCCCCTTCTGTCTCTGGTGCCGGGAAGCCACCCTCAAACGGAACCGCCTGCGGGAGGGAATATCAATTAGAATTGCGAGTTTTCCACCCACCTCCTCTTGCCAAAGGAGCAGTGAAGGTGAAGGAAGAACACGTTCTTTAGAAGTTACCATGTCACCAGTTATCTATCTACTCACTGATGTAAATTTATTATGTGCAGGAAAAGGCTGCGCTGCAAAGTTGAGGACAAAAAACTGGACTGGCACAGGAAAAGCACACCCAACACCGAAGTTTATAGAAACAAATAGCAAAAAAAAAGGTTGAGTAACATACAAAGGGGTGGGCACTGCAAGCAAACCACGCATGATCCTATCGGGGTGCTATCTATGCCGTATTACACGTGCTTTTATCACACTTTTTTTTTTTCATTTTATTTGTCTGTGTAAACATGCCATTTGTCTATCCGTAAGTGCTATCAAAGGTGCGCTAACGCGTGTGCCAAACTTCCCAGACATCATATCGTAAGCTTCCTGCAGTATGTTCCAACTAGCCCCCATACAAGTTTTTCTGTTTATTATATGCATAAAATTGAAAATTAAAAAGCAGGCTTCAACTCCTGCAAACAATTCAAGTGATAGAGCTCCAACAAAAACAGGGGCAGCGCCAAGATTTTTGTTACCGCGCGGACACCAAGGACAAGAGAGTTCCTGCATAGGGGCCAGCGAGGATGGGAACATGTGTTTTGACTAAGCTTGCTCTAGGGGGGGGGGGGGGGGGGGCAAGTGAAAACTGTGGGGAAAGGGGTTCCATCCCCTATACCCTTGGCATCGCAACCAACAAAGAAAACAGCCTCCATAAAAGTGTACAGAGTTCTCCAGTGTGGGGAGCCATGGTTCACCATAGCGCCCCCTCCCTCTCTCCTCCTGATTCTTTCCAACTGAGGCCCTAGTCAAAGTTAGGGCAAGAGGGGCAACCACAGTCTCTTGCCCCCCACCCTGAGCATGCACCTATGCAGGCCTCCGAAAGCCAGCTCACCTTGTTGACTCTCGTCGGGTCGTCCAGTTCTAGCCTTGCAAGCTCGCAGCCAGCTTCCAGAACCGCACCAGGCCGCTTGATGAAGTGTACGCTGGAGAGAAAGAGAGAAAGGCGAACTCGTAGGTCGCGTGACCTACTAGCAGGCGCATGTGTGCCAGTATGTGGAGAACAAGTTCAACACAAACAAGGTTAATGCTAACTGCTACATCTGCTATTGGCGCCATTTTCAGCCACTCTGCATAATTCTAGCCCACTACAGATTAGTAAAGAAAGGTGACCAAATATGTAGCAGTAAAAAAATCACGTGCAGATTTTCTTTTCTTGCAATGGGTGTTGAACTTTATCATGTTCTTGTTTGTGCTTCATTTGTCCACAACAGTACAACACAATTCAATCTTAAAGGGAACACATGGTTAGGAAAAAAATATATATATATCCTAAACCTGATTCACTGACAAAATATATAATAGGTGATGAGACACACTAGCTTAAAATCTATGCACTTCTAAATAATACAGCAAATTTTGCCATATTTAAGCTGCAATTCGTAGCCCAATAGTACTTAATAGGTGCTCCCTTTAAAAGTGCTCTCTACTGTACATTCACACACACACACACACATACATTAACAAAAACAACGCCATATGCAAAGCAGGAGCAATGCGCAGTCTAAAGCGAGAAACAGTCGTACAACACCTCCAACATCTGCTTGCAGATGTTACACTAGCAAGTAGCGTGCCAGCAAATATGTGTGAATGTAGTTGGATCAGCAGAAACTCGTGTTTCCACCCTATCGAAATTGTTTGAGCAGGCCATAACAACTTAATGCCACCAGATCAACTTCCTCACAAATGTTTTCAGAGCCTTGTGTAACAAACGAAAATAGCAAGAAATCAGCACTCCTTCAGTTCTGGTGAAAATTCTAAGCAAATGTTTATCGACAGTTATGACAGTAAGAAAGCTTAGATAGAATACACACAAGGGTTAGATTTTCTTAAGTGTACTTATTATGCTCCCTTCGCTAACCTTCATTAGTTCACACGATCTGTCATGGCGTACGCTTCTGGGCACGCTGTCCTGGTTAAACTTGCTTTGTTTGCTTTTATGATGTAGAGCAGTACCATGCCTAACATAGCACTATTTAGCTGGCAGATTATTAGGCCCTACTTTTTTTTTTATTCAAGTTAATAATTACATCACGTTCACCACAGCCAAAATTTCTGCGATGGGGTTAAAATGTACAGGCCCAACCGCATGCACCCGATTTTTAGCAACAGCGACAAACGAAAGTGATGAGAGACGGAATTTGCTGTTGTAGAGGCCATCACTTGTTGCCTAGTGCATTTCTGGAAAACTAGAAAAGATCGCTTGTCGCCCGGAAGCCAGTGCGACGATTTTCAGCAACATGGCTGCGCCCCTAATCTCCGCTTCGGTTAAAACTTGCTCTCGGTGCTTGTAATCCGCACACACTTCAAAGAATGGAAGGCATTGACCACCTTTTTTACATTCACATCTCACGCACAGAGTGCGAGAGCGGCCGTATTTTGTCGTAAATCTTGTTACCGAAGGTTTGTTTCGCCGTTTTGATGGCAGCTTAAGACAATTACGGTCGCTTGCTGCAATGTGAAATCGACAAGAGAAGTGCGTTGCAGCCTTCGTGGCGTCCAACAGAGCCACTTTGCGGCTACCGCTCGAAAATCATGTGCATGCGATTGGGCCTTAAATGTTAAGAAGTGTTATCAGGCAGTTTGTTTCGATCGGTGATACACATTGCGAAGAAATATTTGGCGAGCAGCCTTGCTATTGGCCAGCATTCTCATGTTATTAGAACAGCTAAAACACTTGGAAATGTAGTACGTATAATTCTATTAAGTTTCTCTTGCAACACCAGTTCTATCATTACATGCAATATCAGTATTTTTTAGGCACCTTCAACCTCGAAATTTTTTTGTCATGCGGACACAGAGGTTCCCAGCCTGGTTATGCACTTGTGATAAGCAACACGAGCAGCACAAAATTAAAAAATAAATAAATAAAATGAATTACAAATCACTGCCCCAAATGAGTGCCACTTGTCCTCGAAAAGCACCGTTTCTTAGCTTTAGACTGCACTTTCAGAAATTGCAAGACGCGACAGACACAAACAAGCAACAGCATTACGAACAAAATGCAATGCAAAGCACTCTTACGCAAATTCTTGGCGGTGGGAAGCTGGCAAGCATTGCAAGGCATTATCTCTTGCTACTACTCACCACCCACTCTCTTCAACAGTAAGCGTCATCACCATCTTCATCACCTCGATCTCGGCGTACGACTGGCCGCAGACGACGTGCGCGCCGTCTTCGACCAGGAACTGAAGCAGCTTGCCTGTTGAGGGAGACCTGTAATGGCATCAGCTAGGGTGATTTCGGCGCTATGCTACGTTTTTCTTTTGTATTGCCTGAACCTGATTCCAACTGGGCTGCGTGCCAGCAAAAAAGGTAGCCACCTGTGCAAAAAAAGAAAGAGAAAGCACTTTGCACGCCCATGAAAAGTCCTCACTTGTCCGTCGAGGTATTACCAGGTTCTTGTTTGACCGTAAACCTTCTTCCCATTTTCCCTAGTCCGTAAAAATATTACCTATTCTCCATTGTTACATTATTGCGCACCACTTAAAAGACGAAGACTTGGGAGATGAGGAACTACACGAACACAAGCGCAAGCAAGTACCTTTACCAGTTCTCGCTTGTTTATATATTCCTTGCAAGTTTTTGCTAGTTTATAAAAGTATTAGCAGCTTTAATTGTCCTTGAACTTTATTGCCAGTTTACATAATAAAGCAGGTAGCACAAAAGCCCGAAGAGTGCCCGTTTCGCGCATGTGTTCCTGGCTCGTGTTTTTGCGCTACCTCCTCTCATATGCATGCTTACAAACTCGCCCAGATTTCCGTTCTCGCCACTTTATACCTCTCTGTAAGTGTTGCACCAGTGTGAGCTTGTCTGCAAATGCATTACCAGCTTTGACTTCTTCATAAACATTTTGCCAGTTTTCACGCGTTTGTAAATGTATTGCCAGTTTTCGCTCATCTCCATAAACGCATTAAAACTTACTCAGATTTGTGTAACCATTCATGAAATGAGATAACGAAGTTATGTAAGAAAACAAAAATAGTGAAATACATAAGGAAATGAATGTAACGGAAAGAAAAATAGGGGTTCTGGATGCTTGTATTGCCTAAGTATTTTTTTCTGCAATCTACCTAGCATGCAGAAAAGTCTTAAGGGTTTCTATTCACTCGGATTATGCCATGGCATATGTCCATGACACAACGGTTACAGCATATACGGTCTCGGTGCTAGAGGTCCTGGGTTCGATTGCTCTGGAACCATCAGTATTTAAATTAGTTTTATATTGTTATTTGGGTATCTTTGTACTAAAAAAGCTGCCTATTACAGGTCTGAGGGCACTGTGATTGCGGATGTACAATAAACACATGCCTTTCCCGTGCTTTTTGCATGTACAAAAACTTTCAACCTTACTCATTATTAGATAAATAAATAAACAAGAAATGATTGTCAAAGTCTGCTGTTAGGATACAGCTTCAATCAGGTGTAAAGAAGTTTGCAAGAGAACACACCCAAATTAATGTTGCATTTTCATTACTGCATTGATTGATTGATTTGTGGGGTTTAACGTCCCAAAACCACCGTATGATTATGAGAGACGCCGTAGTGGAGGGCTCCGGAAATTTTGACCACCTGGGGTTCTTTAACGTGCACCCAAATCTGAGTACACGGGCCTACAACATTTCCGCCTCCATCAGAAATGCAGCCGTTTCATTACTGCATCATCTCAAAGTTATTGCCATAACTCGTGATTGCACACAACTAGGACTAGAAATGAAAAATTCTTGCAACAAAGGGTGTTCAAATTCAGCTTCAATCTGTTAAAATGCAACTTCAATCCTCTTGTTGAAAATTGGCTCGTCTTTTTCTAAACTGCAACTGTTGCATCTTTGAGCCTAGAAGAGTGACACCCCTTGTTCCAATAATTTTTATCTCTCAAAGATTTCATCTTCCCCTAACCTTCTGCCCAATAACAAGGACTAGGCACACCATGTTCATGTTCGCAAAAAGACACAAATAGCGAAACCAACCTCAGGACACTAGGGTCTTTCTCCTTCTCGAAGATGCACGTCTGGTTGCCAATGACCACTCTGTACCGGTCAACCTCTTCCTTCATGTAGGTCGTGTAGCTCGCACCATCTATGGACAGCAGCAGGCGGTCATCACTCAGCCGGTGCGCCTCCACGCGGCGGGCCGAGCCATTCATCACCAGGAAGTAAGACGTCGGGCCGCACTGGGACACCTGCACCCACCGTTTGCGCCCGCAGCCACGTTAGTGTTACTTCCAGCTGTGGTTACGTCCTGGTTTGCTTATTCCTTTGTTTTAACTTACACCAAGTGGTGTGCTTAGAGCCGCATAAAAAATATAACATAACCACTTGATACAGTAAAACTTGGGCTTGGAGAAGCTGGTTTGTATTTCATTTAATGTTGCACAACAGAGAGCAAACACATCAGAAGTGCATTCATTACACTTGACTACTAAGCATTAAATGATTGGGAGGAAGCCAAAAACAGAAGTTTCGAGAAAGGCTTGGCAAGTGTACTGTCGCATAGTGGTACAGTATTGAGTTGGCGATCATGCAAAAGAGGTATGGCAACCACGCCACCCACCTGGACGGTGTACTTGACTGACTCGTGAATCAGGTCCGCCGTGAGCGTGTTGGTCAACGTCGTCGCCGGCAGGATCTGTCCCTTCTCGAGGCACGTCTGGAAGTTGCGGAAGTTCTCGCGAATCGTCCGATATGCCACGTGCAGTGCACCGCAGATCACCGACAGCATAGTGTCAGGCTTCTCGGCCTGCACCCGCTCGGCAATGAGCTTGTCGAGCCATCCGGTGTCAAAGGTGTTGCTGAGAAAGGCGTCCGTCTCCAGCAGGGTGATGAGGTATTCCACGGTGGTGCGGAAGTCGCCGCGAATCGACAGCTCTTTGAGCGCGAGCACAAGGTTCTCGCGGGCCTCCTCACGGTCCTCGCCCCACGAGAAGCAGTGGCCGAACTGCGAGTCTGCAAACTCGTGCAGTCCGCCGGAGGCGCCAACACTGAAGTAGCCCCAGACGTTCTTGTTGGAGCGGAAATTGAGTTCTTGCACGGTGCCGGCGCTCGGCTTGAAGCCCTCGTCGGGGTTCTCGGAAGTGATCCGGGCAGCAATGACGTGACCCAGGGGACGGGGACGTTGCACGGGGTTGTCAAAGTCAATGAGCGATTCACCCCAGGGTGACTCGCCGTACAGTAGCCGGATGTCCTTGATGCGATGCAGCGGGACACCCATGGCAATCTACATGGGCGATAAGTTAGCACACAGAGCTTAAGACAGTAACTAATAACAAGTTAGGCTGGTTGGTTTCAAAGACTGAGCTATCTGATGATTTCGAAAAAACAAGTAACACATCAAGCCTGAATTATAAGCCACAAAATGTCACACAGGCCACCCGCACATCAAAACTGCCAAATCCTGTAGTCGTAATCGGCTTGAGTTCGACAAGTGACTCACCTGAAGTTGGCACGCTGGTAAGTTGACATCGGCGACCATCTCTGTACAGGGATGTTCGACCTACACAAAAAAAGCATAAAAAATAAGAATGCTTCAGTTAAGAGATCAAATCAGTACACAGCTCAGCAATTAGCACTACCAGCAAATTAGATTCAAGACGGTAAAGGCAGAAGAACTTGCCATGCTTCTAGAATTGTCTGGTGTAGCAACACTGAGAAGGACCGAAACTCACCTGAAGCCTCGGGTTGAGCTCCAAGAAGTAAAACTTGCCATCTTCACTGTAGAGATATTCGACGGTGCCTGCACTTACGTAGCCTACCATCTTCGCGAGCCGCACAGCCGCCTGCAGAAAAGAACCAAGAAAGGGCAAAGGCACACGATGAAGAAGGAAGCTCCAACAAGAAGGTGAGAACAAGCAACCTGATAAAGGCCAATCAAGCTAGGACAAGCTTCAATGAAAACAAGTCTCTTGGTTCAAACAGCTCCAACCCTAAATCTATTGCATCTTGTTCATGTCTTTCATCCAGGCATTCGCACCATGTGGTATTTCATACCACCATGAAGATACCACAATGCATCACCATCGTGCTTGTGATTGCCAAATATACCGTTAGGTACTATAGTTCCAGCCTACAGCACCCAAAGGTTGTGGGATCTGAGGCGCGCCCGCCACCATTTCGCGGGCATTCCGCCGCACGGCCGCACCCTTTCACTCTTCCTGCTCTGGTAACGACGCGTGACGATAGATGGAGCCACGTGCAGGCGCGGCACGTGTTAAGTGCGCGCTGAGGGAGCTCTCTCTCCTCTGTGGTCGGCACCGGGTAAGCGCGTGTTTCCTCCGTCCGCATCCCCTTTGGGAATCGCCGGACTGTAGCCTGCCTGGGGTTGCCTTTGGCACCTCGGCAGGCATGTTTCCTTGAGTGCTAGCTTCGGTACCGTACGCTAAGCCCACAGCGGTGCCTAGTGCTCGAAGTGGTCGTATCACACTGAGCCGCACTTGCCGTAGGCCTACACATACGAGATTTGCCCTAACACTCGCGACCAGGCCCAGTGGCCATCGTGAGAGTTCGCAGCATAGCCGCGAGGGACCTTTTCCCGACCGGCGTGTCAAAGCTCGCCATTGCCAGCTGCGATGTGCTCGCGGCTCCCCTTATCGTGAACATCCGCGTGCGGGTGCCTTTGCTCTCCGCGTTTCGGGAGCGGACGTTGTACTGTTGTTCGGGGTGTCGCCAAAGGCAATAAAGTGTTGTGTATTTCTGTATAGTAAAACTGTCTGTTTTGCCGCGCCGCGCTGAACGCCTTATTAGTTGAGCGCGCGCAGAGCGGTGCGCTACACGCAAGTAAGTGACGGAGTCGCGGCTCTGTGGCTTGCTAAGCGTGAGCCCGCGGTGATCATCCACTACGGTGAGTAGCAGGGTCACCATAAGGTAACACCAGGTGAAAGGTAACACACAATGCCTTTTATTAGTGTGTGTGTGTGTACATTGTGGCATGGAATTGGACAGACAAAATACTTAGACACAATGGATAATCCATGCATTGCAAATATTTTCAAGCATTTTTAGAATGCTAGCACAGTATCCAAAATGCCCCCGTAACTAGCAGCTTCGAAAATACCAACACAGTGACTGACAGTATTGGAAGTGACACTAACGAGTTCAGAAAATCAGTCCATTCAGGTAAAGTTAACAGACAGAATTCAATAGGTGGTAAGAATAATTGTTGGGGTATTACGTCCCCAAAAACATGGACATCATTGCAAGGTATGCCGCCATTTGAAATGCGGTCACCGCGGCCAGGATTTCATCCCATTGCATTCAAGTCAGCAGTTGAACACAGAAGCTACTAGACCACCACGACAGGTAAGTAGGTTAGTAGATAGAAGTTACTAGGTTAGTGGATACAAACACACACAATGAGGAACACACACAAGGGGGATGTAGGTATTGTAAGGCAAAAAAAACCAACAACATACCCGCTCCATCTGCTCGAGAACATTCGGCTTGGCAATGATGCAGGGTGCCTCCTCGATGATTTTCTGGTGTCGCCGCTGGATGGAACAGTCGCGGCCGAACAGGGAGATGGCCGTGCCGTACTGGTCGGCCAGGAGCTGCACCTCGAGGTGGCGCGCGCATGTCGCCAGCTTCATGATGAAGATGGGCGAGCCAGGCACCTCACTTTGCACCTGCCGGAAGCACTGGGGGAAGTCGTTGGCCGACTCGGACTTGCGGATGCCCTTGCCACCACCGCCTTCCGAGGCCTTGATCATGACGGGGAATCCAATCCGCTGAGCCGCCTGAAGGTTTGAGCACGAGACAGAAGTTGAGTGCCATTCAAGGAGGATGGTTTCGAAAAGAGAAACTGGTGAGAAGAAGTGATAGGCTGCCAGTTTTTGTGAAGAATATATCAACAAGGCAAACTTCTCGTGGCAAGCACCTGCTACACCTTGATGTCGCAGTATCTGTCACAACATGCCACGGTTAAAAATTTGTGATTGACCTCGTTGCAGAGACCTTCCATTTAAGATAGTAAGTATTCCTCCGTCCCCCGAATTCCAGAGAGGAGGAACGCGTTGGTTGCCAGACCGGACCTTTTCGCCCGATGCAAAGGTCTATAAGGAGAGATGAATGACGATGTTTTGTGCCTTGGAAATAAACCTTGTTACACAGTTGCCAATATGCTGTTTAGAATCGCTTAGTGCCTTTTTTATTCGTTAGTTGTTTTTCCCAGCCCAGCATTGCTTAGTGTTCAGCTCAAACACTTAATCACTATGTAAGCCAAGCGCGATACGCGTGGACTTGCACCTTTTGCATGCTGAACTTCTAGCATAGCCTTCATGCCGTTGCACCTGATGTGTGAAACTGGAGTGCAGTCGACTCTCGTAAAACGGAACCTGAAGGGACTGGGAAAATATGCACTAATTTCTCATTTTTTTTAAATTTCTGGTCAAAAATGCTTATTTTTTTCTTTGCTGATTTCGAATCTGATTGTACTAAAAAGTAGCTAGTCAATGTTGAAAAACTATTTTCACCGCACAATTACTCAAATCAAGGGAATAAACTATTCCTGAACAATACATAGGAAGCCAGCTACCAGCCGTTAATAAAACTTAAAACCTTATAAACAACACAGTTACAAACACAACACTTTTCTTCCCTTGTAAAGGCTAAGCACACTTGTGTTATTTCACTCGGGAAGCTTTGGAGCCGAGTGGAAAACTTCAAAATGCCGAATAGCGCAAAGCGGCTTTACTGGCGGGCACTCGCAATGTCCGGATCCGAGCTGTCGTCATCATCACCGGAGGAGCTACTCAATTGACCGTCATCACTGTCTTCCCTTCCGGACACAAGATAAATATCTGTACTGTAATCATCATCACTCCAAGAAGATGACAAAAACGAATAGCTTCTTCTGCATGTTCACGGACCAGCTACGCATGGGTCGGTGACACCGCACGCCGCCTTTCCATACAAAAACCGCACTCCTGGGAGCAAGCTAAATCATTGAGCAAGTTCTGCCATCTAGTAGATAACACGCCATGTAAGCCGTAAATGCATGCTTCTCCGCCTGACTGCTAGAGGGGAGTACTGTTTCGGAAGGACGAGCTCTGCTCGTCCAAAGCAGTCAAGGGGTTAAGAGGAGTTTAGCTTACCAAAAATGAACAGAGGTGCAGTATGCAGGGACAAAACCAATCAATCGGAGGAAGTTGTCCCATTTAAATGCTAGTTTTATTCATCAGATTTGCGTTCATCGAGAGTGTACTGCATATTCACACTGAAATTGTTTGAAAAGAGTGCCAATGAGGTTTTGAAGATGGGGACTCACCTCCAGACCATCGTCAACGCCCGTGACGCAGCCCTTGCGATACAGCTCGGGCTTGATCTTCAGGGGCTTCTTCGGGTGGTGGTTGTCATCCTCACCCCAGTCGGCCTTCAGGCCTGCATTTTCATTTGCACACGCGGGCACATTTTACCAATAGGAAAGAAATAGGCCGACTCACATGGCAGACTATTCAAACGCATGCTCGGTTCTTGCAGTGAAACGAAAATAAAAAATAAAAAAACAGCCACAAGGTTTGAGAATCGCATATGCAACCATTAGAAGATCAGATTATTACACATACAGCACTGATAATTTTCTAATATCACTACATCAAAACGCAAGTAAACTACCAGTAAGAGTGACTCAAAAGCAGGAAAAACGTCATTGGGTAAAGTTCTTCCAAGAAAGCAAGGCTAGATATGACTGATGAAGACAAGAATAATCACATGTCCAAAAACCTATACCTACAGTTCCCAGTCATTCTAGAATTTACATGTGTTGGTGCAAGTCTCAAAGCAATCAATTTCTCAAACGGATACTCAAGCTTTCACAACAGCACTTTCATCATGAGCCCAATTTGATTAGATATGCCTGTACTACCATTAAGACAATCTTCATGACACTCCAGATACAGCTGATATACAGCTAACACGGCAACTACAATAACTCAATCAAAGTTCATCACAGAGAGAAGAAGTAAAAAATTTGCATGAGCCCATATTGATCTCGTATTGCTTATCACATCAGCACACTCCTGTACTTGACAGCTCTAAGAGATCACTGAATTATAAAAAATCTCTACCCAAGCACTCTGTACATGTGGTTAACCAATGAAGCTGAAACATTTCACCTACGTGTTTATCGTGAGCTGAGATCTATCAAAGTGTTTTCTGCTTAAAGTTTAGATTTTTTTCTATCACCACGTTTAGAAGGTACATGCCACGAAATTTTCATTCAGTGATGTTAGCAGAAAAGAAATTAATGAAAGGAATTTGGAAGCAATTCATGCTGTGGAGTGTATCATCCCTAGATAGATTCTGACAAAACTTGAAAAATGAACTAGTGCAAGCGCCCTTCCTAGGTAGCGTACGCTACCACTGCTTCTTCATTATAGTTTCTGTATCAAGCACCAACCACCCAATTATTGCACCTCCTAGCCAAGAACACTTTCACAGTAGAAAGCAAGAACATGGAATCGGCAAACTCGTGAACAATATCTTTGGCTACCTACCAGATCCGCTCCATGGAAGGGTCGGCACGTTGGCCGTCTGCGCCACGATGGAAGACGCGATCTTGTCACCCAGGGCCCACATGGCTTTCTCGGGAGGCCCTGAAAATTTTCAAAAAATATCAGAAATTTGCGAGCTTGTAACAAATTACAGTTCTAGGCAAAATGTGGAAATGCATCTCAGTAGTCACTGTCACTGGAAAATCATTTTTGTATCGCATTGCACACACACAGGCATGCGCAGAGCTCTACAGCAGGCTGTTAATATTTTCCATTGAGGGTATCACTGGGGCTGCAAGCAACACTAAGAGAGTCACTAATGAGACAGACATGCGAAATTAACATCATAAAACTGCAGTTTTTAATTTGCTTGCATCTGGAGCAGCTACCGTAATTACTCGAATCTAACGTGCACCTTTTTTCCACTTAAGCGAGTTCATAAATCGCATGCGCATTAGAATCGAGTACGAACAAAAAAATTACGGTCAATCTATTGCCATCGCAAATCCAAAATGGCCGCCTCCTACTTGCGTCGGCATGGCGCATCGGCCATTTCAGCCTGTGTGTTTCCCATGTGCGGCACTTCGTACGTGTGCTGAGGAGTTTGTCATCTTGTACTGCATTAGCATCGACGGCATGGAAGGGCCGACTCAAAAAACACGACGAGTGCACCACGATGCCACTTTTAAAAAAAAAGTCATTGCGTGTGCCGTAACGGATGGAAATCGGGCCACATCGCGGTCGTTCGGAGAAACGTGCGTGCGGGACCGGTGGAAACAAAAGCAGAAGATTGTCGACAGCAAAGATTCACGCAAAGGCTTCATTAGACCACAGCAGGGTCTGTTTCCGCAAATTAAGGAGCTGCTCGGCGAGTATGTGCTTGAGCAGCGAGCGGCACAGCGGCCCGTGACGACAGAACTGCTCCAAGTGCGGGCTATGCAATCTTAGAAAAAGGTCTAATGCGGAGCCAGTTTAAAGCGAGCAGGTGCTGGCTAATTAACTTTATGAAGAGGAAAGGCTTTTCCCTCCGAAGGGGAACATGCATATGCGAAAAGTTTTGCGGAGTACGATGAAAAACTTCACAGTTTTCAGAGGTTCGTCCTAAACTTGCGGCGCAACAACGGCTACCTGCTTGGGCAAATCGGGAATGCCGATCAGACGCCTCTTTACTTCGACATGCCTGGCACCACAACCGTCAAGAAGAAGGGGGCGAAGCAAGTTCGCGTGCTGACATCGGTCCACGGTAAAACTACAGTGACGGCAATGCTCTGTTATACGTCAGATGGGCACAAGCTTCGCCTGTACCTCATATTTAAATAGAAGACGCTCCCGAAAGGAGTCGTTTTTTCGAGTGGTGTGATCGTGCGGTACAGCGAGAAAAATGGGTGCGCGTTGCAATCAATGTCATACGTTTTTTTTTTTTTTCGCTGTGGAAATTGGGTGCGCATTACAATCGAGGGTGCGGTAGAATCGAGTAAATACGGTAAATTGTATAAGCCTGTGTGTCTACAATCCCACAGTGCTACAAGCTGCATGGTATGTCATGAGATTGATGAAACAACTAGCTTATTCCAAATGCCTTCATGAATGTGGCTACATTTGTCATGATGATTATCATTTTTTTACTACAACAAAACATTCATTATTGTTACCATCATCAATGTCATTCTTGATATGATATGACAATGACCATCATTATGAAAAAAAGTAGCTAAATCCGAAATAAATATGTTACATATAGGAATCAGCAGAATATCATCGTCATTATAATTATTCTAAAACATTTTCAAAATATTAATATCTACTATGTTTGTTAATTAGGTCAGGTAACATTGAGCTCAAATAATGCCATCTTAGGCACAAAAATTTAGGCCTAAGCAACGCTCGTACTTTTGTTTCTATGGCAAACAATAGCTCACAGCGATTGCTATAATAAAAAAAATAGTGTTGACTGAACTGGTAGGGCGAGGATGGAGTTAACAAGGGTGGAGTGATCGGCCTATATTCTTCAGTTTTTTATACTTGACTAAGCTATGCTCCGGATTAATTAGCCTCGGACTAATTAGTATTGGCTTGATTAGACTTGAATTGACTCGTCTCACCTTAATCTTGGCTCGATTAGATTGGCTAGATTATTTTTGATTTAATTAAATTCAGCTTAATCAGTCATGATGATGACAATTTGTTTGCACTACCCAGCGCAACAAAGAACTTAAATAGCTTTGCAGTTTTAAAATGATGCTGCATTTTAATTTGTGAGTACTGCACAATCAACATATTTCCGAGTATCGAAAACTCACTCCGCTATCCCAAACCCGTTAAAAAGACTCACCGATGAAAGCAATCTTGTTTTTGGTGAGCAGTTCAGGCAGTCGCGGGTTCTCCGAGGCATGGCCCCAGCCGGCCCAGACAGCCTGGGCTCCGACTCGCTTAGCAATGTCCAGAATCAGGTCCACATTGGCGTAGTTGTTGTTGTTTGAACCACCAGGCACAGGAACACAGTGGTCGGCCAGTTTGATATACTCTACACCAAGTGGAATATGCCAGAAACTAAGCTTCACTCCGATTCATCCAAAAATAAAAAAAAAAAATTATTTATATATTTAATTTTTTTATTTAGAAATACTGCAGACCATCATTTCGGTCCAGGCAGGAGGGGCATAAGAAACATCAAGTGATTTGTTACAGCAGAAAAAATGCAAAGGAATGAAAGTCAGCAGAAAGTCACATGAATCAATGTGCATCATTCATTGGACAGAAAGACAACCTCTATGTCATGTGACATCCTTTGACATCGTCATGTGATGAGACGAACATCAAAGCAATTTAATGAATGTCTCATGAGGGCATAAGCTTTTGACAGTGCCTGTACTTAGCATTGCCTAAAGGGACTATCGATTTTTAAGTATTCAATGCAAACACTGTTACAATGCAAAAGCAATGAGAAAGTTTGATCCACTTTTTAAAATACGATAACTTATATTAAGGTTCATTATTTGTCATAAAATGATGTCTTTTATATGTGATTATCAGCTTATCTAAGGTCCACTGTATTACGAAGATTCCCTGAAATGTCTCAAATAAGCCTGTTCTCTATGTAAACCCAATTCCTTGCATCTACGAAGCACCTCCTATATTCATTTCCTTGTATGCCCAAACCGCGTTAATGTTGTGGATACCGCCATAATGCCAAAATATACAAAGCCCTCACCTGCATTGGCGTTGAGATCTTCTGGTGTTACCATAACAACAAAGCGGACCGCCTTGTCATTGCTGAACATCTCGTAGGCCCATCTTCGGATGGAACGCATGCATTTTACTGCCGCGATTCCATTATTCGCTATCAGGACCTGGCATCAGACACAAAGAACAGAAACAGCTGAAGCTCGCAGAAGAAACAATTTCCCACAATCATGCAAATTGATAAAACTAAGCAAGAATGTTGTGCCAGATGTTACGACTGTGGCGTCACTAATCAGCATTGGCATCAAGTTCACCTTCATGCAGCACAGCTTGCAAGAAGACAACTTTCGTGATAGAGTATTTACCATCCAGGTCAAGTAAAATCCAAACAGCGGCAAGCCTTCGCGATGGTACAGTGTGCACCGTCCAGTTATCACCATTGACAGGCGCGCGCATCCTGTTCGGTGGCTCTGTGCATATATGCGGGCCTGCCATTGTGATAAATGGACGGCACGCACTTTTCCATTGCAACGGCTTGCCACTGTTCGGGTTTCATTTGACGCGGATAGCACATACACAAAAACAAAAAACAAAGCCACACTACGTACATCGCTCAATGAATTGGTGTTGAAGAGCATAACAGCAGCTAATTTATACTGCTGTCAAGGCATCTCCTCCAATATACTTTCTTTCAATCATCTTTTAACACCATTTCCAGCTTGCCAATCACCTTTTGGTAGTAAGAGCGGCATTTTTGGCATTGTAGACGAATAATCGATTATAGCAAATTAAACTTTCCTTTAGTGCCTCTTTATATTACTGATACCTTTTATGTTTTTTGTACAACTACACAACAATGGTTCAATGCAACGCCAAAAATATTGGCAAAAGTACCTTGTTGATGACATGCCGGCCCCCGAACCGGCTGACGAATTCTTCCGGGGTGGCCACAATGAAGTCCTTCTGGCCCTTTCCATATTCGCGGTCCTCATTGGACAAGTGAGCGCCCGACATAGACTGTCTGCAAATTGGGCCAATGGGGATCGAACAACAGGAAATACCGTCAATACGGTCGACAGGAAAATATGAACACATGCCTCAGTGCTGAAAAGCTTCGATCAAACTGGACTCCTACAGGACAGACAGTTCCGCACACATCGCTTACTAAACTGACGCGTTCAACAACGCCCACATGACATGTTAAATGCAGCTGCCTTACAAGTACATTCATGCCAAGTTATACTGGGTTTGCATTCAACACAGCAGCACATACTACTTTACGACTTATTTCTAAGAACTTAAAAAGCCTGCTTTTCATTAACAGTAGATAGCATTTTAACAATATTTTGGCAAGAATTTTGCACCTATGACATCCTCATTCAAAATCAATCACATGATCACATTTGCTTTGAATTCCATGTCCTCTAACAAAAATCTTGCACAGTTGCCAGCCTGCATTGGCCATAAGAAAAAATCGCTAGTATCTGCACTTAACTGTCAGACAAGCATAGATCTAGCGACTTAGATTAGTTTTATTAATAACGAGAACAAAAAATGACACATTTTATGGAATATAGATAATATTAGAAAATTATGTTAGACACAAAAATAAAGCAGATGTAAGTAGAAAATCACATTCTAATTTAGTTATAAGAATTCAAGCAAATGTGTTAGTGCAAATTTCGATATGTTAAAATATGCGCAAGATATAGTGCACAGCTACGTGTCAGCTGCATTGATGAAACAGAGAGGAAGAAAAGTTGTGCAGCCAATATCACAAATCAACATAAGAGATTTAACAAAATATGAACAGGGATACAAAAAGAACACAAATAAGCACACAGTAAAGAACATGAAACACTACTTTCACTTCACAGACCAGATTGCACAAGTACTGTCAGAGGGCCTTGTAATGCCTGACCTTGAAATAGCCACAATATCAGTAGCAGGGCCAATATCTTTTACCACAATGTTTCTAACATTCTCATAACCATGCCACTGAAGCATACCAACTATAATGTCATTAGATATGGATATGCTAAACATTTAGCTCTGAACTGTCGGCAACCAAATACTGGTAAACCACTAGAATTTTAGAAAGGTGGCTTTGAGAAAGCAGATATCTTTAAGAAATTTTTTCCTTAATTTGTGAAACACAGGTGCACTAACCCAATGACCACAACAATTTGACACAATATCAAAGTGCTGACTGTACAAATATTCAAAGCCACAAGTGAAGCTAATTTGCTGGTTGCTGGATTCTGCAGACAGGTGAGCCTACAAGGAAATGCTAAAACTGTAGCTAGAACTTCAATGAAGCTATTCACATAATTTTCCATACTGAAGTTGACGTCAACAGTCAATCATTGTTTTAAGGGATAAATTGTCATTGTTTCATCGAAAAAATTATTAATGCATTGAAACAAATTTTTAAAAAGGCAAAGCCTCTGTTTATCTCACACAATAAGCAGGTTGCATTAGCAATCAATGAAATTTTGAGTACAGCCCATTCAACGCACTCAAAATACAGGGAAACATTATGTGTGTGTTGCATACTTTGCAGATGTACGTATATACATTGTCAGATTATTATACAAGACTGGCAAAGACACTTCTCTTACTGCATTCGAACAGCATCATAAGGCCAGAAATATAAGTTGGACACAAAGAAGAATGTGCACTACAAAGCAGACATGTTGCTCAAGACAATCCACAGAAGCATGGTGTGCTGCTCGAACAGGTTTCGGTAGTGGCAAGAAAGCTACGATACGATAACGCATTCACGCCTACGAAAACGCAACGAACTTCGGCACGTTCAACATTGACGACAGGCACGACGAAGCGCACAGGACACGCAACTGGGCTGTAATACTCACGCGCGCAACCGAGCCTTCGCAGCAAAACTAGAAACGAGAAACAAAGGAAGAGGCATCATCGTCATGCGGCTTCTATCGGATATGTTCTCTAACGTCTTACGTGTGTGCTCAAAAACTCAACAGGGAAAACATAAAATGAAAGGAAAGCATTGTGAACATTTGCAGTATGTTTTTAACGTCTTCATTACTGAACTAGATGGGCGGACAAAAAAACAAACAAGAAAAACCTTCTCAACCATGAGACTTATTAATGCTCTTTAATTAATAACCCACACAACTTTTTTTTTTCTGTCTCCTACTTTTTATGCTTACATAAGTACAAAGCATTTGGTGTTCCATTTGATGTTGACGTCGATGTTGGAAACATTAGCTCTCTACTTAAGCACTTTGCGATTTATGCCGATCAAATTTAGCCAACTGAACTGCTAAGAGAGCAGTATTCCAGCCTGCTAAGATGGTCACTTGTAAAATTAAAAGCTGTTTCTAGAAGGAGTTGGTCCCTCAAGATGACTCGCGGTACGCTCACTGATACTCACAAATGAGTGGTCTTGAGAAATCAATAAATACCTCAGCAAGAATTACTAACAGTGTGTATTTATAAAAGAGCAGTAATAACTAGAGTACTAACAACAGTAGTCATCCAAATGATGCAACGGCCAAAAGGACATGATGCCGCTTTACTCACCTGAAAAGTTTTGCTCGAGACCGATTGCGTCTTAGCTCATCTCCCATGAAACGACCACTGCTGCCAGGGCTTCCAGGGTCGTCGGTCTCCTCGTCAGAACAGTCTATTGTGAACAGCGGCCGAGGACCATTGCTGCGGATCGAAAGCAAAAAAGTCGCACTGTGTCACAAAACTGCCAGGAGCAAATCCCAAGCGGTCATGCTTGTTCACGTGTTACTAGAAGGTTTTCGTGACAAACAGCTAGCAGACGACTATCAAAAGCTACTATATAACTATATACTACACTTGAATCAGTACATTGGCTCATTTGGAATCACGGCTTTAAACATGCCGTCGCCAAATAAGATAGCACTTCAAAAGCCTGAAACTTTTTGGTGTAAATGAGATGTAATAGAAGAACAAATTGTCAGTGTTTCATAATGTTACCTAAGAAATAGATGCCATTATTTTCCATTTCACTATTACCCTCTTAATATTTACGTATTGCAGCATTTCAGAAATGTCATAACATCATGAAAGCTCTGTCACTAGAGTTTACAGAAAGTTGCATAGCAGTAAATGAGAATTATCACTCTGCTCCATGATGGCACGTAAATCAACAACACGCTTTTCGAGATACCAGAGTCTACTATCAATTCCTCCAGCTGAAGTGATCACTAAGTGACAGAGGAAAGCAGACATATAGAACTAAAGGTCCTACTTTCAATGGGGGGGAAAATACATGCATAGATGTATTCCGGCCTTCCCAAAAGCGAGAAAGCAGAAGAGAAGCTAGAGATATCTCACAATTTTTTTACCTAGCTTTGGCTGTCTGGACTACATTAATTATCTGTCAATATAAGCTTTATTGTTTCACATCTTGAAACATGCACTTAAGTTCTGCCGTAGGAGCAGAGGCACAAGAAAAACAGACATACAACACAATTTTAACTCCACTGATAAAATCATGCTACAAAGACAAATTTCCGACAAAAATACTCTGGCATATAGAAGGAAGAGATTTTTCCTACCCGTTCACCAAAGCCTCCTCCATGGTTGGCCTTCGCACACAAAATGTGCTACAAGAGTATCTTTTTAACGTTTCGGTTTGGGCAGATATCAGCGGCGAAAAAAAATCCTCTTTCACCGCAGGGTTCCAGACGTGCATCGACGAACTTGGCGACGCATCACCGCACACTTCGTCTTTTGTAACGCAGAAACTCCACGCACTCAAACCAAAACAAAATACACCAGCACCATAATTTTAATACGAACAGCACATACGACTCATCACCACTCAATGAAGATAGACTGTAGCAAGCCTAAGGATGGCTGCTACTTCACGTTCAAGCAAAGACCGAGACCAAGAAGCACATCAACTCCGCTCCTGCAGCCACCTGGTTACTCGACTCAGTCAGCAATACGAGACGCGCTCAAAGTCTGGATGCAAGAGGGTCGGCGCAGAGATAACGCAGGCCCAGACGTCTGCTGATGATCGCGCGGCGCTCGTACGATGCGGCTGGCTGATCTGGAGCATCGAGGGCACTGCCGCTGAGGAGAGGGTTCGATGGAAGCTCGGCATTGAGAAAGACTTTCCAGGCAGTGGCTGCAGTGCTCAAAACAGGAAAGTGACGTAGACGACAACGGCCGAAGACAAGAGAAAGTGCTAGTGCCCTTGACGCGGTATCGAGATACACGTTCTAATCTCTTGCCCTCATAACGTTTCCTTTTTGCTTCTGATAAGAAGCCACAGCTTAGAGTGTGTTGCATATGAGGGTGATAAGAGAGATAAAGCTTGAATTTAGAAACATTCAAGGGTCTGTGCATGCACGCTGTGGTTGCCATCGCTGTGGTTGCCATCACGTGTAGTGATGAAGATAGGAGTCGATGAACTTGTGAGCAGCTCATTTTATCTTTTCAAGCTAGATGCATGCAGTCGGCGCATGCAAGGCACTGCACATGTTGTACAATGGTGCTGTTTGGAAGTCCTTTGAAGTTGGCTGCTTCAACAAGTGTGGACACATAACAGCAATTTGCCCCACAAACTAATTTTTTTACGTTGAAACCATGCCGATGTATTCTTGAAGTGACAAAATCGGTGATGCAGCTCGTGTTCAGAGAGAAAAACAGATGAGTACACTGACAAACTCCAAAAGCTATAGATGGTAACAAGTGAGGTATGTCATTTTGTTATATTACCTCATCACTGAGACGTCGTTACAGAGGTGAGTAACCTTCAGTGATATGGCATACAACACCCAAAGTGAACAAATAAGGAAACCACCAGGTACTATGTTCCAGATATCTTTTAAATAAAGAAACCTCACAGGAACTACATTTAGAGACACAGAGGTACTCAAGATGCCACGCATGTTTAGTGGACTATGCTAAGTCAAAATCTTCAAGCAGTTACCTACTACGTGCAAAAAAAAATCTTGGGCCACATGACAGCGTCAGAGTTGTAGCACTCAGAAGCAACTCCCTGCAGGTATGCAGCCAGATACAGAACCAAAGCACGCGTGTGACAGTGCCTCTGCATCAAGTTGCGTCAAAATTTCTGCTTCTTGACAATATAAATGCAATGATGCAAAGATATATTCAAAATGAGTTTTACTGTAGCATTATTTTAAGAGATGCAAGTAATTTTTTATGTGAGGCTGCAAGATGAATTTGCAAGGTGCACGTGGTTTGTGCAATCGACAAGGGTACATTTCATGACGCGGCACTAGTTTACCACATTCATCTCATGGGAGATGCACTAGTTGGAAGCGCAGACCATTTGAGTGACAAGCATGTTACGTGTGGCAGTACACAGGTGCAATGCATGGCGAGATCAAAGCAAAGATGGAAATCATACAGAAATTACAGCTTGTCTGAAACTTTCGCCATGGCGACCACATGAGCCTTGGAAGAAGGCCAGTTTTTAAATCATCAAAAGCGATAATTTAAAGTTATGGCATGCTTACCCAGACTACTACTGATGCATGTGTGGAAGCTCCATCCTCACCAATTTGAGTATCTAGTCCCAGCAACTCATCTCCAAAAGTAGCAATTTATTACAGGAGGGTTACGGTTACTTTTTTTTATTGTGGCCAGCCTGCATTGCAGTGCGGAGCTAGAATAGTGGTGTAGCTCGTGGCCAGCCTATACAACTAGCAAGGACTTGACATTGTCTTAATTAGCAAGGTCTTAGCATGGCCTTAATTAGCATGGTGTTCATTAGCGTGGTCCCACTCTGGATCTTAGCTGATACAATTTTAATCAATGTGGTCTTCATTTGTATTACCTTAATTAGAAAGGTCCTAATTAACCAGGCTTTGATCAGCATGATCATAACAAGTGTTTTTATTTAGCAGAACCCTAATTAGCATTGTCTCCGGTTCCTTCGCTTTCATCTCCATTTATCTCTTATGTGCTTCTTTTTCATTTTCTTCAAGAAGGTCAAACAAGAAATGCCTACATTGTATACATCATGTCAATAGTAATGTCTGTACAGGCCACAGGCTTATCACCCGCCAAATTACTAGGCAATACAGAAAAATGTGCTGTAACTATCCTCATTTTTCCAATGTATGCCACCAAGAGCATACTGTCACTATTTAAGCGTCAATACTAAAATGAAAAGTATGAAGAGAGTGTGCACCAGCAGAGTTATTGCATTGCAAGTGCTAGGCGCAGCTCACTTTTCTGGTCAAGCAAAACGACGAAATGGAAAGCCGAATAAGCTCCCCATTGAAACACTGACTGTTAAACACTTTTGAGTTATAGCAGGTGTACAGATGACGCAGACCTACCCAAAGCCGTTGAAGTTGCCGCCGTTCAGAATGTTGCCGTTGGAAGTGGTTACGGTGTTGCCGTTGTCTTCGTCGTCCCAGCAGGGCTCGACGACAATGCGTACAGGCGAAGTGTTGACACCGTTGTGGGCCGCTAGCTCTTCGAGCCGCTGTATGTCAGTGCGCCCCTTGCTCTCAGGAGTGCCATTCATCTCGGCTGGGGCCTCTGGGGGACCTGTGAAAAGGGCAGCGTGTTGCTTTCATTGACAGATTGATTGGTTGGTTGGTTGGTTGATTGATTGATGACCGAGCAAATGATTGATCAATCAGCCACTCAGCTGTTCACTGAAAGGCAGAATGGGAACAGATCACAATTTTGGGTTTCTACAATATAACAAAATCATCATTTTCTCGCATGAACGAAACTACACTGATTGATTGATTGATTGGTCAATTTATTTACTAATTATAATTTTAAACTACCGAACCAAAACAATGTAACAATTATTTTATTTATTTCGTGCATTAACAAACTGACTGATCGTACATTCTACTGTAATTGAACCCAGGAACTCCAAAAAAATGTTAGGACTAAACTGTTATGTCCACTAATATAAGACTAATTTTTCTTTCTACATGAGAACTGATCCATTGATTATTTGAAGACATTGCCACAACTACAATTCTCTGATGAGACAATATTTTAGTCATCAGCACATTTACATTTACTGGGTGACAGCTTTATCTGCAACCATGAAAACAAGCATTTCTTAACTGTTCATTCCTACTGGTTTTTTTTTTCTCGTTTTTTTAATGAACAGAATGGCACAGTGGCAAAGTATAAACATGGCCAGTAGGTCATATTGAAAACTGCTGCACATAAAAGGATTTGAGTAAAATTGTAAAAGCATTGAATGTACACGCATTTGACAAAAGTCATTGCTGACTCAAGTTTCGATGTGTCTGATAAGTTGGCACTCCAACAGTGCAACGCTTCCAAGTACGACACTTCACATTTATAGTATTGGTAAAAATACTGAAAAAGGCCTGCACCCTACACAAGAACGTCTAGTAGAACAGAAAGAAACCGAAATTTCCTGTGACCTCTTATAGCAGCCTATATGTAAGCTAACAATGCCTAAAGTTACATCATATTTCCATGCAAGAAGATACTCTTGGATAACGCTCAAAAAACAAACGGGGCTTCTTACCCCAACTGTGTAGTTTCACCCTGAAGTTCAGACTAAGCAAGTGAATTGTTTTCTCATTTTGTAGCTGTCTTCAAAACATTCGATACTGCAGAGGTCCCATGATCAATTAAAGCATCCAAAAGAATATTACCACATGGTTTTTGAAGTGTTCAAGCACCAAGCTGAATCTGCATTAATTTTTTATATGTCAGAAAAGGTGACATACACCGATGGCTTTTTGCCAGATAGCCAGACAATAAGTATGCATTGAAATCTTTCTTTTTCAAGCATGTTCAGATACAGTATGTAGTAAAACCATGATGACCAATAAGAATTTGTTAGCCACAACCACAGTTAGTGTCGGCTGGCAACTCGTAGAAAAATTACTGATGCAGAATAGCAAAGAAAGAGGACTGAAACAGCTGTGGAGGTTTTCAACACATACTGAGGAAACAAAAAGTATACCAGATTCCTACCAGCACATCCCAACAAGCAGGCAGGACAGGACGTTTGTTAAAAGGCCAATCATGAGGTAGCTAACGTACATCCTGTCACAGCTATTCTGAAAATTTTTATTTTGTTCATTCAGTTGATTCTGTCACAGTGATAAAAGAATTGAACAATAAAAATGAAGAAAGTAATACTTATTGTTCTGCCTACCGGATTTACCCTGCCATGCATTTCATGTCAACTACTGCAGCGCAGCAATCGCTTCCACAGATACAATTGCTTATTTCATTACTTTTGCTTCGTCTCTTGCTTGGTCCGCTACTCCTTCAATCTCGTTGCCCTCTGCCTCTCGCATTTCTCATTTACCACAGCAGCTATGGTTTATGTTGGTTTCAGTTAACTTCATTTTAATGCACGCTTCCAACCTTTTCTTTCTTTTTTTCATTCTGACAACAAAACGTCGGTGTTACCACAACAAAGGGCAGACACTTTCTGCCTGATGGGGACCCAAACACCCCAATGCACCTGCTCAGAGCATGCAGCAATAAAAACAAGACTTCCTGGCAATTGCCAGCTGGCTACGAAACATGACACTCCGTCATTGGTTTACCCAAGCGCACTATGCCCCAAGTATCTTTCAAAATTTACATTTCCTTCGAACAGCCTCACAGCTATTTGTCAGTGCTGCCCACAAAATATTGCCAACAACCACAAATGCTGACAGCATCAAGAATCTCATCTTTGAATGTTGAAACACCCACCACTGTCACACTTGATAGTGCGTAAAGATCAATGCGCATGTACAGGACACAATGTGCTCACGCTTAGTGACAAGT